TTCCTGTCGATGTCACTCCCCCGAGTTTTGCTAAGGCCTTTGACACAGTCTTGCACACCGTTCTTATTCACAAGGCATCATGGTTGGACATCAAGGGTCAAGTTCTCCCCTGGCTACAGGACCATTCAGACGGCAGACAGCTCTGCACAAACACCAACAGTTTACTTGACTTAAAGGATATCATCATCTGCTTTCATCGCAAGGAGTGACTTTGTGTTCGCTGCTGTTCCTACCTATTGTGAACGACTTCCTACCGAATCTCAGCCCCCCAAATCTACTTTACGCTCATGATGTTAAGTTGTGGAGAGCTGTTACGTCCGAAGCGGAATCGAGCGCACCGCAAAGTGATGTCAGATTACTTGTAGAGTGGGTGGATATTAATGGGCTAGCATTTAATCTGGATAGGTGCTGAGCCATGTTCTCCACACCCTTGACTCTCAGAAGGTACCCTTTTCCCTCTGTGGGACAACTTTCCCACACCACCACGGAGAAAGACTTAGGACCAATACTGACCGATAAGCTGGACACTAGCTCCAGTTATCCATGAGACGCCTGCAGGGCCTACGCAGCACTGCACTTCATAAGCAGACAACTAGGTGTCCTGACCCCAGAACTCTCCTAAAGCCGCACAAGACCCACACACGACCTCACTTAGAAGTCCACAACGTCACTGCACCACCATATCTGAAAAGAGATGTGAACCTCCGAGAGAAAGTCAAAAGGAGAGCTACAAAGCGTGTTGTTTGGATGAGGTGAAAACCTTATGAAAACAGGCTGAAAGATCTAGGACCCTGCTCCCTAAGCTATCACAGGTTACTTGGTGACTTGATAGCGGCTCACAAAATACTGGGTAACCCAAGTCATCCGAACAGTGGAATCCTACCGAACGGCCGCTGTGGCGATCCTTGTGGTAACCCAAGGAGAATCCCCTGCCAAAGGGTAAAATCCCGTGTGCGTTCGCACTTTCTCTCCCTGCGTGTCTGTAGCCACTGGAACCCACTGCCTGCAGAGATTGCTACTGCCTCGTCTGTTGACGGCTTCAAGAAGACGTTGGACAGCTGCGCAGAAGCGCACGGCTTGCGCTCATACTACTGGGAAATGGACTAGGCTGACACGAACTACTAACTCAGTATGGCCAACCCATTATCGAATACGTTGTAACACCACTATTACTGTGAACTTGGCTCGGCCTCATACTTCCTCATAAACGTCCACTAGGGTTGCTGTCTCCCATTAATATAATTACTGTCTCCGCTCCCATAAGTGGTCACATAATGTTATTTTTTCCTTTTCTTCCTCCTGACTACGTTCTCACACGTTAGTAAGAGCTCTCCCCATCACCTCTCTTTGATGAATCTACCGACGTTTCTTCTTCTGTACCGTTTCCTTTCTCCTAATCATTTTTTCTGTTGTTTGTTTTTCTTCGCACTTTCTCTCGCTTGGTTCCTGTCGACAAATTTTCCGCTCCTTTTTACAACCGGTCCGATCAGTTGTCTGCTGGCACAACACTCGAGGAACCCATCCGCAGCATGGTTCTTGGAAAAAAGCAAAGCATACCTCGCACAAACTTAACCGACATTCAACTGCCTGCAGAACCAATCAGAACTACAGCAGTCGAGTGGGTAGACCTACTGGATAGGAATCCACAAAAGACCTGGAATCGTTCCGCAAGACCAAGTAGCGACAGCGAGGAAACCGATTGGTTTACACCAGCTTGTAAAAAGAAACTGGATACTGGACCGAATAACCGTAATAGTCTCTGTCCTTTCAGGTTTCGCCGCCGTGAAAAAAGAGTGACTATTTCAAGCGGAGGTGTTCCGATGAGACAGATATACAATCCGAAGAACCACTATCTGGTATTCCTACGAAACCCACTGCAAACATCCCACACACGGTGACTGAGAAACAACCAGTAGTAATACGCAGCAAACCCAGTCGGACGCGCGACCCATAACGAACCCAAGTCACAGGAGGGCTAACTCGATCATCTTCTTCAAAGTCAATGCATCAACATACTCATTGTTGATTGGGTGAGGACGTTTTGGCAGCCGAATGTGGACCAACCACTGTCAGATGCTAGGACTCCCTCCTCTCCGTGTAACGCTATGCCGCCGTTCCCGAGTAAGCCGGGCACTCCCAGGTAAGCCACCCTCATTAACGCGCCTCCTTGAACACTGCCAAGGAAGCTGAAGACACCCTCCTTCTCTCGCGACAACCGGACGTTGTTAATGCCTGCAAACTTCAGGCCAGGTCCGACAAGCTATGGTTAATAAGAGGGGAGGAAAGAAAATCAGCGGTCGGAAATTGAAACAGAAACGACACCACTCCAGAACTGCCAAGTGACCGCCTGGCTAAAAATCGGTGCTTCCACGGCGTCTAACAGTGTCAGTGGCTCTCAACCGAAGTTGGTCTTGACAGTGTACTGGTCAACAGCACCAGTAGATGGCCGGGGCCAGCGCGTCTGAAGTCCACACCCACTCCCAGGCTGCTCGCCATCCGATTCGACTCACATGCCTCCCTCACAGGCGTTCTACAAGCATGGTATAATGCGGGAGATAGCGCGGGTGGCTCAATACGGATGTGTGAAAGTAAGCCTAGACTCACGAGGCAGGAGGAGAGACGACAACCACCAAGACCTCTGGAGTCAGCAGTTGTCACACAAGCGCCGAACAGTGAGTCAGATACATCAAGCAAAGAAGATCCCACTGCCTCAGCTCCCACCCAGGCTGAAAAAAGAGGCAAAAAAACGGAACGATGTCAGTCCTATGGGGATCAATCACGAAGGTGCTTCTCCCGCGAAAATACGCAACCATCTCTCCCCTCTCACCAGGCACGCTCTGGCATATGTGTACAGCAACGTTAGGGGGCTAAAGGGGGGAAGTAGCAGAGATGGGGACGCTGCGTGAACGTCAGCACTCTGGCATCATAATTATCACGGAATCCTGACTCTCGCCGGACATCTCCGATGAAGGGGTGCATGTTACTGGCATGGAACTGTTCCGCAGGGATAGAGAACTTGGAGCAAGAGGGGGATCGGCTCTCTACGTTAGCTCCCGTTTAAAACCAAGGGTGGTCGGCGATACCGCCTTGACCCTGATCCCAGAATCACTATGATGCTACTTCACTCTCCACTGTACCGAATACTTGCTGCAATCATATAAAGGTCCCTCCACCAGTTCCCTACACATAAGGAAATGGTCATCAACGCGATCCTAACGACTTCCTCTGCAAACTGCCGTTCCGTAGTCATTGTTGGCGACTTTAACACCCCGTTCATCCTCTTCAAAACGGAAGGGAGACACATCAGGTCCCTCAATCAGAAGCTGAAGAATGCAACTAAGACTGCTGGCCTCTCAGAGAAAGTGTGCGATGCCACACGCTGGAGACCTAACGGAAACGCTTTGCGCCTTGACTACGTTCTGATGAACGACGACCTTCTCATTGAGGATGTATGCATCCAACCTCCCCTTGACCTCAGTGACCACACAGTAATAGCCTTCTATATGGTCACCAGGGAGGCCCTGCAACTGGAGACGCCCAACACCTCTTGCTGCAACAAGGCCAACTACGGGACCATGAGGGACTATCTCATGAATGCATCATGCCGGTAGACCGAACTCATCTCACAATGGATGAACACTGGTTGCAGGTGAAGGAACTAATCGCTGGGGCCATTGGTCACAGTGTGCCAGAGGTAACACACAGACTGTCAGTGAGAACCTCGCGGCTGAAACATGGGACGAATAGGCTTATCCAGAGTAAGAAGCAGGCTTGGTCAAGTGGCGTTCATCACGCAGGGAGTCTGCCTTTTTGAACTACAATGGGATTCGCAATCGCTGTAACACTGGAGTGCGTAGCTACAGATTCTCCTATCAAACAAACCTGGAGGAGAGGTTACAAAGCAATCCCAACAACCTGGACCGCTCCATGTCGTGAAGGAAGTCGACCAGTAAGACAGTGAATGTTATCACAGGTCATGATGGGAGTGTACTAAGCAGTCTAGAGATTGCCGGGCTCCTGAGCTCACACTTTCAAGCCCAACGTGGTACCGACACTAAATCCACACCGACTCGTTACGATGCCAACCGAGTCATAAAAAACGAATACCTCTACCACACCTCAATCACAGAGAAAAAAGTGCTAGAGAAACCATCTAGGCTACGTGCAAGCAAGTCCCCTGACTGCGATAACCTAAGACTGGCGATCCAAATAAACTGTGCCGAGGTGCTTGAAAAACCAATCTGCAACCTCCTTAAGCAACTCAGCGGTCTTCGCGAGGAAACCCCATTAAGATAACACACCAAAGAGCCAATACCATGCTCAGGCCCAATTTTTTCTCCCTGAGAGTATGTGCTTTGTGGAGTACCTTACCGCGAGATAGCCTTGTGCTCCCTCAGTCGACTCATTCAAGAGATGGTCAGACAGTTATATCACCTCGCATGGTCCACCATGGACGTACTCAGGTAGTTACCAACCTCACTAGCCCACCCCCACCTCCCTCCTACCTACCACTCACTATCTCGCTGCTTAACACACCCACAATACCCACTAATTCTCCTGTAGGAAATAAACCCACTCTACCATTCGGGCAATTCTCACATACTTTTCTCTCTCTTTGATTTCTCTTCTTCACCCCTCCCTTTCTTCTTTTTCTTTCTTTTCTCTTTTTTCTTCCCGTATTTTCTTTTTCTCCTTCATTCCTTTCATTTTTTATTCTATTCTCTTTCAGGTGCCTACACAGACAGGAGTCACGACAGTCCCTTAACCGTCCCAGAAACCCGTAGCTTCCCAATCACTCTTCAAGTTACAACTTACTAGCCCACAAAACATCCACCTCACCGAGGCCAAAAGCAAGAAAGCAGAGGGGATTTCCTCGTCCACTGCAGAAGTGAACCGAAAAACTTAAACGAAGACCTAAGAACTAGACGCGAGAGACCAAAAACTATCAGTTTTCTACTCTCGCACTATCAGTATTGGACATTGGAACAGATATTGGATATATTGTGAGAAATAGCTAAATTTGGAGAGGTGAGCTACCGTAACACTCTCAAAACACACTTGTCCATATCCTAGTTTTAGTTCCCATTTCTTTATTTACTTGTTATAAATTCACAAAATTGGTCCATGTTTTAATAATAGGCGGAATTGATACTTTTGTCATTGAGAGTGTAGCCGTACTAACGTTTAGTGCACCATTTTGATCCACGTAAACTGTTTACGTTAGTTTTTTCGTGTCGAGTGCAGTAATGCGAAGCAGAACAACTGAATGTTGGTATATATTTAGTATTTTTTGACTAAGCATAAAGTTAGTATTGGCGTCATATCTCACAGAGAATCAACCCACCTCAACTGGCAGGTATACCTGCCGATATCGATATTTGGCTATTTCGTGCAAGAAATGAGTGCAGCATTTCTGGAGATGTGGATCTTTATTTCTTTAGAAGCCCGGATTGTTTCTTGAAGGTCCTGGAATCCTCCCAGACATACCGAGGATTTCCAAAACTAACGAAGTTCTCTCAAACATTTGACCCAAGTGTTTCTAAACTTCTGAAGTCAGCCTAAATATTCCAAAATCGATAGAGTGTATCATAGGTTTCAATTCTCTGTTTACCCGCACTAGACAGTACATCTGTTTCCAAAAAACAACGCAAATTACTCATTTGCAAACATGCATCTCATATGCCACTAATGCAATGCAACACATTGCAATTAAAATTCCTGTTGATAACTGCAGACATATTTTCAAGAGATTCGTTTTATGATGATACCGGGCTTATTTAAAATTTGCTTGTGAGAGGAAACACTTGTGGTGACATTTTCTCATCTTACTTGCGGCATACTCAGGCGAAATTAAGCATATGTTATGAGGATTCTAACATCGCTTCCAAGCACAACCGTGTCCTCCGAACAATCTGCACCTGCCAACTACATTAGTAACACTATTGAATTGCGACATATCTTAAGAATTGGCATTGTGCGGACTTGACAGATGCAGAGATCAATCACTAATTATTCGTATTTGTAATATACCCATGAATGAGAGCAAGGAAGAATACAATGACGTAGTCAGATGGAATAGTATATTTGCGAGGTTGTGTCAAAATACCGATGCGTTCCGACTGGCTGGCTAGAGGGTTGATTACAAGCAGTGCAACGTAACACGACAGCGTGCCAAACGGCATGGATACTTGACCTCGTGCCTTCAGCTTAGCGAGTCCGATAAAACTATGAAGGTCAGCATCAATGTTGAATCTCGTCAAACCCTAGGCTATTGATTCGGGGGAAGCATGTGACGCTACAATATCATAATCCTACAGAGAAGCCGTTTTTGCGTTGCGTGAATCTATCACAGCTGTTATACAAACATTTCTGTATGCTGGACATAATTTCGTGTTCAGTAACCTCTTGCCTCACGGCTGTGCCCGCGGTAGTTGTAAGTTATACCTACGAACTAAATACAGCGTAAGAAATAAGTTTTTCGAATGTCCATCTCAGTGTGATTAAGGGCCAGAGAAGCAATAGGCTTTAATCGGGAGTAAAAGGAGGTTTCATCAAGTGACCCACTGAAACTCCCACATCTGAATATTAGGGGTGTTACTTCTCGCACCACGTCTTATCTGAAGTCAGTATTCGATAGCTGGATTCCGAGCTGCGTAGGCCTAGCATCTGTATCCAGCTCCTATCTATCAGAAGATATTAGCTTCTTGGAGGTATCTATGATGCTGACACCCTTTGGCACATTGGTTGTCTGCACTTACGTGTTAGCAGTGTCCTCCAATTTGATGAGACGTTCATTGAAAAGTGGTAAAATGAAATGAGTTACGTAGTGTTAACACATCCTTTACTGATGACAATCGTAGGTAGAGCCACTTGCATATTTGAACTTCCACACGTCGCATACTTCTAGGTGACTTCAGTAGTTTAAATATGAAATTAAAGCGGGATATGCAGTTAGGAGAAACTAATACAATATTCAGGGGATAAAGTTACTGAAGAAACAAGCATAACACATGAATATTACCTGACTACATGGGAGACAACGGCTGGCTTCCGGAATGCTGTGGTACTGAACTGGAAGTCAGCTTCTTCCAGTAGTCTACATGGATAGTTCAGCGATGCACTGTCTTCCACTACCTTAGGCTTTCCAGTATCCTTACTAAATATTTTGAAATTCACCATACAACAAACCAGTTAACTCGCTGCTGATTTGCATATCGTGTATCGTTTGATGACGACGATGGTGAATTACTACAGTACAGTTTCTCTACCCTGGAAAATGCCTCCCGAGCCATGTCAAAAGGATCTGTAAATGAAATATGGCTTACCATACCAACCAAGTACAGTAAATCTGTACGCCGAATAACCCTCCGCAGGCTTTATATATATGACAACAACAACAACCCATGTTACACCCATGCATCCACGAAGATTAGGATAGCTGCTACGTTGGAGTAGTGGTCGGGCTTGCACATCACAATGACTTATCAGAAAAGTCTGTTGGATAGTGGTAAGACGAAAAGCAGTTACCGTTGTAGTATAAATTACTACACTATGATGGAAGTCTGAGGGCGAAGTCATACTCCTGCTAGCTGGATGGGGTGTGATAGCAGTAAGGTGTTTCCCTCAGATGACCAGAAGTACCACACTGATTCTGCCTTCCCTATGAGGAATGCGATGTTGGACGAGGGCTCCAAAATAGTATACCCCCACTACCCCATGACATGCCGATACCGGGGTCATGGGTTCATAGTTGGATTCAAAAGCAAGAAAGCAAAATTTCGAATTTTCAAAAAGGCTCTGTGTGACAGACCTCAAGCAGATGTCCTTTGGACTTTGTGGTTACGCACTAACCTTTCTATCTCAAGAAGAAATAGCTTTCCACGATGTGAACAGCCGGTAAGTATCAACCGCTTTCATAACTCCATTAGCAATCAAAACCTTTAGCTCATAGTCCACCTTCCACATACTTAGCTTATAATCGTCTGTCAGTCAACAATCGTACATCATCTTTAATTTGTCACAGCTCTGCAACCACTGACTACGATCTGAGTTCGCAGAATAGAAATCCTAGTCTTCTGAAACCTCGCTTCAAATTATACACTAAAGCTTTCTGTGTCTGCACCGTGAAGTCCGTAAAATCGACCTACAAGCTTCGCCAGCGAGAACTAGCAACTCGAACTCTGGATAATGCTGTATTTGTGAGTCAGGCATACAGGACCTGAGTGGGGTTATTCACTTTACCTCACCACGCAATTATGGAGAGTTTGCCAAATTCACCCTTCGAGCTTCTGGAGCCAGTTCTCGTGGTTTTGCAGACATAGGCGTAGCACTAAGCTCTTAGGAAGAAAGTCCACTGCTCGACAACATCACGGCGGTCGCCTACTACAACTGTGGTCAGATAACCACTTATTTCTGGCCAGCACAAATTTCAGGTATAAAGGGAGACATTGTCTGACTCGGCATTCATAGAGCCCAACTCAACCAGGGACACGGACAGACCACATTGCCACCAGTCATCGCTGGAGAGGGTCAGTAAAAGACTGCCACTGCTTCTGGAATACGTGTTTGGACAGCGACCACGCACTGGTTTGAATGCATGTATCAGCGTCTATACGGACATGTGGAAACTGTAGCAACGAGTCAGTGGACACAATAAAACCTTTTTCAGTGAGCAACTGGCTCGACATTTATTGGAACTAAACAATATCACTCGTCCAGAAGAAGCTTGGTACCATTTTTAGTCTACTGTAAAAACAGCGTTGAAGACCTCAACAAGCTCTCAGAAAGTGGTTAAGAAGAGTCAGTGAATATCTGTAGCCTACTCTGAATTAATGAATGCACACGAACGCATCCCTACACACTCCGAGTACAATGAAAAGCGAATGCAACTCAAACGAAGACTGCCAAGAAGTCTACGCAGTGGCTGTGAACAGTGGTGGGCAACGAAGGCTAAAGAGATGGAAAACGCAGCGGTGAAAAGTAACAGTAGGTAGTTATTTGGACTTATCAAGAAAACTGGGCGAAAAGATCAGTTGTTAGTGAGACTATGACGGAGGAAACTGGAATGATGAGCGGAATACTTCAGGAAGTAAGCAAACCACCCTCCAGCTACTATTCTCTAACCCATTATTCAGTCGGACCCTGAAGGGAACATCGAGATGAGACCCCCAACTCTTAAAGAAGTTGAGAAAGCTCTAGGCGGCCTGAAAAGAGAAAGAGCAGCAGGTCTAGACTGACTAACTTCAGAGGTTTTTAGGGATGGTGGCAAAGGATTATTGATTAAATGAACTGGAGCGTTAACCAGTGCACGGGAATCAGATATAATTTCTCCTGACTGGTCTCAATCACTGATTGTCCCAGTCTTCAAGAAAGGCTAGAAGTTCTGCTGTGATAACCACAAAGGAACCAGTCTGACGAACATAGTGTCGAAGACTCCTGGTTCATTAGAAGTCTGAGTGGAACTCGGAAATAGGAGCCTGAGACAGCCATGCGGACTTCAAACTTTGCTGTAGGTGTATCGGCCATATATATACTCTTTACCAGGTTCTGGGACACACACGGACACCCGACACTAGGTGTATTTCTCGATTTGAAGGTGGTGTTCGACTCTGTGAGTCGAGAGATCTTATCGCAGTGTCACTGAAAGAAGCGCCATGTAAGTACATGACTCTTTTGAAGGCTCTTTACTCAAACGCTGGTGGGGATGTTAGGACCTATGAAAAGTTGTTAGATGAGCTGTGTACATCAAGTGGTGTCCATCAAGTATGCCCACTCTCTGCATTCCTATTCACTTTTACCATAGACTTTCTTATAGAGGTCCCTCTCTCGTCACCTGACTTCACAGGGATTGATCTAATCCCGGGAGAATCTTAAGTTAGTTTAGGATACGCAGATAACATGGTCTCGTTAAATGAAGACACTGACAAAATGCAGTCTTCTGAACACCTTCAGTGGCAACTTTGAGAATGTTTGAGATGCGTTTCTCACCAATCCAAAGCAAATTGTTGCTCCAGAACTAGTCTTCAGCGGTGCCTCGATTAACAACAGGAACTGAAGTGGTTGAGTGGTTTAAACTCCTCAATTACTTGAAAAGTTGGATCAGCCCTGGTGGATTAGTAGCCGACAAAATTTTAACACGGATACAAAAGGTTCGACTGACTTTCTCCAGCTTACGCCATCTGTGGTGCTGCCACGATATTTGGTTTTCTATTGAGTCCAGTGTACTGTGGTGTAGTTCTCTGTATTCAACTGCATGCCTGTGAAAAGCAGCCATTAAAAGTAGATGATATGAGAAGGCTTCAGGTGTTTGTCCACCGTTACCTCAATAGCGTAGGTCGTGTGGCGTGGTGTTACCGCTTCAGTATCACAGAAGTCAGGTGTGCAGTTTTAGGGAGAAGAAGAAAATCAATTGATGAGATTGTGAGCCCCTATCGACTGACATGGCTGAGACGTGCGTTACGCATGCGAAATGTCAGCTGAAGTAGGTTGTACGGCTGTGAGACATGGCCTTTAAAAGTAGAAGATATGAAGCAACTACTGGGTTTTGATCACAGATGTCTTCGTAACATTGCTAGCGTTTGGTATAATCACTGTGTAAACAATGTTGAAGTCATGAGAAGGGTATTAGCCAGGACAGACAAGTCGATTGATGAGGTTATGAATTGCTACCGGGTGAGATTGCTTGGATATATGCTGCCCATACCGAACCACCATCACCGACCCCGACGTACCATGCTGGGGGAGCTGGATTGGGTTAGAAGAAGGTTCAGAGTATCCAGACCGAAAGGTTGCACCAGTCCACGAAGTTCCTGACTGTTAGCCTGAGCCGTATGGGAAAATATAGACTACCTCGTTGGAGTTTTCGCGATGAGAGGAAGCAGTGGTTAAGAACTCTTGACACGGTCCAGAGTCGGTCGCAACTGCGCAGATCTATTCACTTCATGACATCTAAAGTTTGGATATTTGCGCTAACCTTTATCTCCAGATTGTTCATTCTCTCACACATTTTTATCGACTTTGATATCAACCTTATTTTACCCACCTATTCTTTGTATACTATTGTGAAGTGTGACAACTTAAACCGATTCATTTATATGTGAGGTTCTACGTTGATTTTGTCAGTCAATCATGGCATCAATACATGAAGTCTTTGACTCTTGGTCCGAGCCATGTAGAGAAATGCAAACTAGCTGGTTGGGGTCCACGTGACCACAGAAACAGCTGGTTGGAGACTGCAGGTGACGACTCAGAATGGATGTCGACGCTGGTGTGTCCATACATGATCTTAATCGGTTTACTGAATTCAACATTTTCTCGCTCCTCCTGGTTTCTACTATTTCTAACCAATTCTTCTTCCTTCATCTTTCACCTCATTGCTTTGTTACTTGATGTGATGATATGCGGGAACTTGGATCTATGTTTGTATTGATGCTGACTAGGATTTTTCTTAGTTATAGAAACTCTAATTATGAGTTATAAATGAGTCATCTACAAAGGAATCTTAGCTATGAATCGAACACCTTGGAAATATGCATAAGTGAAGTATGTGAAAACTGTTTATTTCGATGGTTTTACTCAATATCATTTAGAATTAGAAATACATGAAAAAAAAACACAACTTACCGATTTAGGTTAGAAGTACACTGCAGTTCATCCACGTAGGATTTGTTAAGTTACAAAATTATGAAGCATGGGTTTCACGACGGAGGAGTTAATGGAAATGGTGAGCAAATACATTTGACCCTTATCATAAGTCATAACCTAAGTTTTCTCAAAGTGGTCCACCTCGTATTAACCTAAATTCCTAGAATCTAAAGAAAAGCTTTGTGTTAAAATAGTGGCGAAACGTTAATGTATTACTAAGGATTTCACAAACAACACCTGGGCGTGAATACCTTGGAAAGCATTTATCCGGAGTTGTTTTATCCTTGAAGTATCTGATGACGGGTGTATGCTTATACGTACGCACTAAATTGTGCACAGAACCATAAGATAGGATGGAACACTTCCTAAGTTACGGATGTTTCAAGTATGCGCTTAAAAATCTGAACAGCTGGATTATTTCGACCCTTAATTAACTGTTGGAGGAAGTATATGTATGACTCAAAATGAAAGTATGAAAATAATTCCAGTAGACTATGGTTAGGTGCATCGTCACACAAATACAACAAACTTTGAACATTATAAACCGCATTTTCACAGCTGAAAATAATTTGTAAGTTATTTACAAACTTCCTTGTCAATAGTTGGTCGTTACCAAGTTAGTGAATGCAACGGTTATGATAGATGAGCACTTAGAAATAAGTCGAAAACATTTTCATACAGGGAAGTTGGGAGAATATTCTTAAGGCATACAAAGCCTAAATACATGAGAAGTATCCTACTCTCCGTTGCTTTCAACTTTTCTACCTCAGATAAGGGTCTGTTCTTTGCTTGAGTTCACATGGGTGAACTTATGTGGACGGAGAAGTTTAATATTGATAACACATCACACGACTACTCGTACTATCCACCCTTAAACAAGCTTTTCCCGTCAACTTATAGGTCCACGAACCACACCGAAGTATAATATATGCATGGGGTCTTTTGGGGAGTAGCGCTACGGACAGCACTTGCAGCTGGAACATCATAGAGGTAAATCCGTTTTCGAAAAGTTGCTCTCCTTGAAATCGCGCTGTCTTGTATGGACTTTAGAGAATTGTTGCCTGACATTCAGTGGTATACACCGAGGGTGCCCACTACTACTATTATGATTTTTTATAGATATACTCATGGGATTAACCGCAAATGTTCCCGAGTTTTCTCTGTATGCGTTTCACACCTGTGAAATGTAAGATTATGCTTCAAGACTGGTATGCAGATATTCCTACTTTAGGGATGCATCGTGAACTGGTAGATTATGTTCGCCACTCCAGATACACAAACAAATCAACATAGAAACTTCTACAAAAGTGCATCTGTTAAAGTTGCTACACTTCACATTAGCATAAAAAGAGCAAGTGGATCAAAAAAGACTGGAATCAAAATAGATAAAGGTGTATGGGAGGAGAAAAAAATTTAAAATGAAGGTTAGTAAAAATATTCAAGCTTTAAAGGACATCAGAGAGTGAATACATCTGCAACATTGTGATCGATTTTCAGCCATGCCACCAAGAGTCTCAAACTGCTGATTCCTATGGTCTCGGAGATCCCAGTCAGGTAGTCTACTCCTCGCTGCATAGCTCAGACGGACAGTCAGAAACTTCATCGACTGGCAGGGAATTGCAACTGAGCAAATTAATTATTTTGCACCTCCCAGCAGAAATGTAATTTGACCAACCGTAACTTTTCGGAAACAGTAAACTACACTTTTTCATTTCTGAAATGACTGCAAATAGTGTATGCATATTAGCATTGACTTCATCTTGTGTTTAAGAGGAAGGATAAACCAAGCCGGGTATATAAATGTTAGATTTGGGTAGTTCCATTTTAGTTGTATCACACAGTGAATAATACTGTTTCACCATGATATATTTAACAAATTAACTAGTAGAGAATTACGTTCTACCGTAGTGCTTAAATTTTACTCATACAGATTTAGGTAGCGCTGTGCAATGCTCTTCACCGTATCCACAGTTCTTCTGTGTTGTGGTAGTCTCCAACTTTGTAAAATTCAAAATGATACAACCCACATGGTAACTATCCACTTTTATTCATAAATTTTCTTTAAATTTTAGTGGATAAAACTCGTTGTTAATGCATGGTTCTAGGGAATTTTTGCCTCTTGGGTTGTATAGATCCATGTAGTGAAGCTGTTCGCCTAAAGGATGCTTCAGGAGATTGGAAGACATTTTACATACGTGACAAGTTAGATGTCGGGTAAGTTTATTCCATTCCCATTAATCTTGAGAGATCTTAGTGGATTTAGTCGAATCGATCTTGTCGTTGAAAAGATATCTAGACGGTCGTTTGCTTTGAAACGTATTATGTGTCATTCAAAATGTGATGAAGACAAAGCATTAACAGAAGCGAATTTCCAATTGAGTCTACCGAATCATCCAAATTTACTTCTATGTATCGCAAGTGGCATACAAGAAGTCATTCAACATCGCCAGGGTGCTATTTCAGAAGTCCTCCTTGTATTGCCCTTTAGCGAGGTATGCATTTACATGTACCTCATAAATTATCACAGAGAGGTACACTTCAAAGGGAAATCGATATTAGATCTCTTCAGAACAATAAATTTCCCTCTTATGTCGTAAAAACCTTAATGACTGGTATATGCGAAGGTCTTCTAGCCCTCCTTTCTCTCGACATCCCAATGTCTCATAGGTAAACTCAGTTGTGTTCTTATTTACGGCGATAGAGATATAAAGCCTGGGAATGTTCTTTTATTTGAGGATGTAAGACCAGTTTTAATGGATTTCGGTTCTGTTACTCCAGCCACTCTTCGTATTGAAAATACAAAAGATGTTGAAAAGTGGAAGGTATCACTTTACCTGTGATATAGCTTTCTTTTAGGAGTTTGCTGAAGAAAACTGTTCATTGACTTATCGGGCCCCAGAGTTTTTCAACCCAACAATCCAGCAAAATATAACTGAGAAAGCTGACATATGGGTAAGCATTGTCAAAAATCCCTTACTGATACACATATATTTTAGTCTTTAGGGTGCCTACTGTATGCCTTGTTTTTTTCCAAATCTCCGATGGATTTAGTTCACTCTCGAGGTGATAGCGTTGCTTTGGCAGCTTGTTCAGCAAATATAACCTTTCCCGTGTATGCATGTTCACAGTAAGTCCCTCTAAACTCAAGCTTCTATTAATCATGTTACAAATATTTCAATTTATTTGAAATGGAATAACTTCACTAAAACCTTCATCGGCTGAGATGGCTTGGACATGTGTTGCGCATGCCGAACCACCGCTCACTTCAACATGTCATGCTATGGAAAGTTGGAGGAGGGTCCATTCAACGCGGCGAAACCAAGACGTGGCATCAGCCCATGAAGTCCGCGACTGTTTATCCGAACCATGTGGGATAATGTAGGCTGCCTGGAGCTCGCAAGACGATAGGAATCAGTGGCTGAAGACTCTTGGTGACATGGTTGAAAATCGGTCACAACAGCGCAGATCCATTCACTCTTTGACATGTTCTAAAGCTTGAATATTCGCACTAACCTTTATCTTCGTATTTTTAATTCTCTACTGCAATACAACTTCGTTTACTCTGATATCACTCCTTTTCTATCCACCCGTCTTTGTGTACTACTGTGAAGTGTGGCAACTGGGACCGATGCACTTGTGTGTGATGTTTTGCATTGATTCTGTCTGTCTGACTAATACTAGACAGTCTTGTGCAAGATCTATCATGCGAACCAACGAGGTGAGATAAATAATTTTATATTTACGAAATAAAACTACTCAACCAAATTCAGAAATTGATAGCTGTAGTTTATATTCATGTATATAGCCTAATTTTGAGATCCTGGATCAATGACATTAGGAAATGGTTTTCGGTTGTTTGCAATAACTACTTTCTCATGTTGTGTGAATTTAAGACAGGAAGTGAATTAGAGCCATGATTTGTAGAGAAGTTGTTGGAGTATCTAAATTTTGCGTAATCTATAAGTTTCAGCCTAAGATACATCACTATTTAAATGAAAAACAATAACTGTTTTCTCAAATGACGTGGTAAGTAGAATAATCGGATTCGTAACAGCTGACTGCCATGGGCTAGATACTAGTATTCCCCCCTTGTCTTTTGTGTATATATGTATAAAGTAGAAACCGTTAGTACCCCGGGTGTCCAAGAATTGTTATAGTCGTCCTATGATCCCTTCATAAACTTTCTTCTCTGGCATGAAACTAATCAGGTTTGAGCATTAAGAATAAAATGAGATGCAGTTGCTAATGGCTGTCAGTAACGACAACGCTCAGGTGTATGGCTGGACGCTGATTGCTTGTGATCATCCAGTTATTGTAACTTACTTCAGATTCATTCATGAGGTATAAAAGTACCATTTTTTTTAAGGTATTCACTGACAACACTATGGTAATATTAATTGTAAAAATACATGGAAAAAGTTGCTTGTGGATCTGTACTTTCTTTTTTAGACTCCCATATCAAGTGATGACATTACTGAAATTGATGTTGTCAGCAAATCCTCAAGATCGACCATCGTTGGCACAAATTTCAGACTTCTTTAAAAACCTACCGACAGAAAGTATCCACTACGATAGTAGTCAAAGTGCAATAACGTGTTCTTTTTAGTGTGAGCTTACAATAAATACATTCCATTTTAACATATCCACTTTCATATCTTATGATTGCTTTGTAAACGCTTAAGATTTAGTAATCTATATACTTTCTTCTTTTCCTCTGGAGATTTTCTACAACTTTTGTTTACTTCGACCTGTTAACTGATATTTTCTTTTGGGTTACTTAGTTTTCTGTATCTGCTAATATTCCATGTGATAATTACTATGACATTCCAGCATACATTTCGTTTTCATGCTTTTGTTTGTGATGGAGATACTAAGTTCGTAGACAACTGTGCTGTCAATTTACCATCTAGTTTTCTACCACATACTTCGGCTTTCTTTCAGACTCCAATCAGTGCTAACCAACACAACTAACAAAATGAGTGTAGAACCTTGAACACAAGTGCATCGGTTCACGTTGTCACACTTCACAATAGTACACAAAAACAACGGGTGGATAGAATAAGAGTGATATCAAAGTAGTTAAAGTTGTATGAGAGAATGAACAATCTGAAGATAATGGTTAGTGCAAATATTCAAGCTTCAGAAGATGTCAAAGAGTGAATGGATATGGGAAGTTGTGAGCCCCAACGAGGCAGTTTACATCTCCCCATACGGTTCAGATCAATAGCCAGGAACTTCATGGACTGGTACCAAGTCTTGGTCTGGTCACCCGATCATGGATCAGATCACTCGAGATATTTTGTTTCTAGTAGGAATACTAAGTTTGTAAACACATTTTAGGTTCTGGGGTGTTCTTTATCTGCGCAGACATAGTTGTCTGTAATGATTCAAGACAATTGTTTTCAGATCATGTTTTCTTTACTTTGTCTGTTTTCGTCCTAGTTCAGAACTTCTCAATATTTTGCACTGTAGACAGACTCTAGACAAGTAGGTATTGAGAAAGTGCAACTTTGCACAGTTGTATTTCTCTACATCAGACAAACGAAGTGAACGAGACTTACTGTAAGCTACAAAACCGCCTAGTTCGCAACCACATACACACTGGCTTCCATTCGGAAACTGACGGAAGCATACATGGACCGAAATATTTGAGATCACTCCCTTGTCTTGATTCGACCGAATTTGTGTCTCCTTCCAAACTAATCCTATTCTAGTTGATGGTGTTAAATCAGCAGATGTAACATATACTCCAGGTAAAACACTCGATGAAGGTTTTCAGAACAGATCTACGGAAGTCATTTATTTTGGCAAACATAAGTTAACAGGGCGAAGAAACCAAAATTTGGTCTTCATTAGTTTGCGGAGAAAACTGTATTCTAGGAAATAATTGCACTGTTACCATGACCTTGAAATGTCATGCTAGTTCTAGGAACTTCGACGATTTAGTTCTAGTATGTGACACCTGTTTGTTATCTGTCGGCTTACTGTTTACCACGACAAATTTTTCGAGAAAAAGAAAGAAATATAGATGAACAAAAGCGTTAAGCTTTTAACTAGACTCTTCAGTTATATGCTCATGATTAGCGAAGTACTACTGAAGTATGTGTTACTGATAAGAGTGCTAGGTCATGGAGAAAAGTTATAGAAGTTGACATTCTGGAGGAAGGAATGCAGCATATCGCGAAGAAGTAAAAAGAAATGAAAAAGCAGAAGGATGCTTTATTTCACAAGTGATCAACATAGTTTCCTAATCGACATCTACAACTGTCTTTACCAGTCTCTCCTTTTGATACCACCGAAGCAAAGCGATTTTTGTAACGGCAAAACATCAAAATCAAATATACCGCGGATTCTTCGAAGGATAACTGCGAAGAACAATACCTTGGGTTAGAGTTTAAAGTCAATATCAACATGAAATATGGCATTACTGTGTAAAAACCTAAGCTGCTGTGACACATCGCCACACCAGGATAAAAAAAACAATGGAATGAAAACGAAAGTAGTCAAGAGTGGCAGAAAGTTATGAAAAGAGAACAAGGAAAAATGATTAATGAAATCCGGTATGACGATTATGATGATGATCCATAGATACAGCTGCACCAGTGCGACCCCCATACTTCCTAGCCCCCAACTGCTGTGATTATAGTTAAAGTGAAATTTTTCAAGGGATTCAGTTTGAAAGAAATATGCTGATGATGATATGAGTTGTCATAATCTATTTATCAAAGTTAGGCAGCTTTTACACACGTAATATCAACCAAATAATTTTAAGGGGTATTTTACAAGTTGCCATCTTATCTGTCGCCCAGCATGAGGTTCTTATCATCTTCCTATTCACATTTTTGAGATACCTGTGAAGGGGGGTATGTGATAGTGGCATAAATCTACTACGCGAAAAACGGCCGTTGTAACTTGAGTGTGCGGACGATATCGCCTTACTGTGCGATAACATAGGCTGCTCAAGTTGCACTTAATCAGTTGGCGATTAGTGTCCTTAAGTATGACATGTATTTTGCACCATCGAAGTGCAAAGTACTTTCGCAAGATTGGCAGTAGTCTGTGCCTGCGCTAACCCTCGACGGTGAGCTGTTGAAAATAGTCGAAAAGTTTGTGTATCTGCGTAGTTGTGTGAGTGGTGTTGGAGGTTTGGGTGGTGAAATTCCCAACCACATATCGAAAGCCAAAGTGGCATATGCCAATCTAGGCCACCTTTTGCAACATCGAAGCGCTAGTTTGACCGTAAAAAAGGTCGGACTTACAGAATTTCTGTGCGATTCTACTCTACACCTATGAAAACTGGCCTCTCCCAGCTGAGGATGTACGATGACTGTATATGTTTGATCATCGTTGTCTCCGTAGGATTGCTCATATCCAGTGGCAACACCGTTTAAGTGATTCCGAGGTGTGACAGCGTGTGTTCGGGCATGATAGAGCTCGTTATTCAGTAAGTGAAGTCATCTGGAAGCACAGGTAACTTGGACATGTGTTACGCATGTCGTCCCAACGGCTTCCATGCGACTCATTGTTTGCTGGCTGGCTGTGGGACTGGATGGAAGAAGCAGAGGGGTGACCAGTGTATGACGTGGCGCCATGGGATAAAGGATAGTTGTGTCGGGTTAGCATCTGTTGGTGCATCACCACTCCTTGGGTGAAGTTCGAGAGATCACGCAATTCAGTGGCTTGAGACGCTGTCAGATATGGTTCAGAATCGAAACCAGTGGCGGTCATATCTCAGCTTCTTTCTATCTTCTGGTGCTGCTGAAAAGTAATGAATGTTTCGTTATGAATGTATTTTCTGAAATTTATGTAGATAACACTTCCTGACTTATCTCTGTGATCACAAGAGGTCAATACATGATTATACATTTACATCTATTTATCTATAAATTGCTGTAAAAATAATCTTAGAAATTACAAATTTATCAAAATTATCAACGAAAAAAATAATAAATTACATACAAAAGTGGAATGACAGTACAGTACATAATAGATATGTCATCGTCAACCAACAAAAAGATGAGATCTATTAGTGGCGCTATTTTCATTGTTATACAGTATTATATACAACACGTATGTATACGTATATGCGACCGTACAGCTAGACTTGTGTTAATGATTAGAATAAAAAGCACTATTGAACATTGAAGAAAAGACAATTAGAAAATAGCTGTGAGTATATTACAGTTTTTAGTTTCGTTGTTTGCGTTGCAATTCAAGTATACAAATTAGTTGCCAGTAAGTAAGGTTAGTTGTGTGAAAGACAGTTTTAATATAAAAAAAACAAGTTAGTGACTACGTAATGAATAAATAAAATAAACAGGAAAAACAAAGCAGTAATAATAAAATAAAAATTATGGATTATTCTATTTAAAACGTGTTGGTGCTGTTCTCATTTATACCTTTTAATTAATCTCAAATGGAAGTAAGCTACACCCAAGGCTACAATGGTAATCACAAAAATACCCAACTCGTTCAACCATACCGCCCAACTTGATTGATATTCAACTGCTTGTGATTGTAAATACTGTACACCAGTAATGCTGAAGAATGGAGAGAAAGAGATAATTGTTGTAAGACACCTATGGTAAGCGGATAGTCAAGTAATATTGAACATCAGAAATCATTATCTGACATCAGTTCTAGTTACGGCGTGTTTCATGGTAATACTCCACGAAAAAAGTAATTATTCACTACAGATGTTGAATTTAGAATAGCTAAAAATTTTGAACTGTACACAAACTTTAGGTGCACTCGGTATACTTCACTAAAAGTAGACGGATGACAGTGGAATTATCAAAGCTAACGGCGATTAATAAACTACACCTTCCCTATTCATCGCGTGACATTACTTATGAGATTTTATACTGGGTAATTATTGCAGGTGAGATGAGAATCTGGACCACGGCCGGATTCGAACCAGCGACCGGCCCGGTGCTCTACCAATTGAGCTACGAAGTCCGACTGCTGACCAGAATTTTATTTCATTCCAATCACAAAGGGTTTTGCTCAACTACCATATGAATTCGTGATGTGTTACAACTGATTGATTGTATTCACACTGGGATTTAAATTCAGTTTCATCTTGAGTCTGCTATCTCGATATGTTTGCTTTTGGCGCTCTAAATTCTACTTCAATCATTTCTTGAATTCTAGTTTTCATCTTATAATTGCTTCATAAAATTGTGCATTTGAGAACTAGACTACGGTTAATTTCCACAATTGTGTTCTAGCATGAGAAAATGAGGTTCAAGTATTGAAAAAAATACTTGGTTATCAATATGAGTTGAATTATTGACTTTGATGATTGTTGTTGGCATACTCGTTCCTCCAGTGAAAACCAAAATTAGTTCATTGAGCTAAATACACCTTAGAAATAATGTAAACTGCATCATTTTATCATCTATAGTGAAGTCTTGATACGATGATACTCGTCTATGGACTGAAGATACTTGAGTAAAGCATATTTTATCCCACCCTCTCTTTTCTTCCCTTGTACATCTATGCCCACTCAGTCAGTGAATATCTATATTGCATCCAGCAATAATGCGTAATGGTTCAAATTTCCACTTTTCACAAACACACATAAAAGTAGCAGACATCGAGATCAAAAAGATAGAAGTGGGAAAAATACGAAATCGAAAGTAGATGACCAAAAGATGTAGAGCAAATGATGAAATATGGTTTGACATTTAACATGAAGATAATGTGTGCAAGCATCTGCACCATATTGCACTCTCCAACCATCGGCTTCGGTTGTTACATGAACCTCAACCGAGAAGTCTGTATTTCTTTACAAGAGTTACATCGATAGTCAGAGACTCCATAGACTGACACCATTTTCTAGTCTGGTTAATTGCGATCTTTTTACAGCTGGAAATACTTCGGTTAATGCGCGTCAAGGTAGGCGGTGACTAGAAATGCGTAATATATTTCCTGTTCACCTGAGTCGATGGAGGTTTAAGACCTCGTCATCTGGCTTATCTTACTTGCCAAAAATGCAACCCTTGACGTTCACGTTACTGATATGGTCACAGAACTACTATGTTAGTCATCCGGTGGTTAAGGACAAGCGATAAGCTATTTATAAATCTAACGTAGGAACTACAGAAACAAAAAGAAGACTAGTCGAGGAAATTTCAAAAAAAGGCTATACTAAGATGATAGAGAATACTTGTAGCTCAGGAGAATAATTTTGATGTCATGTTTTCTGAGCTGGATTATTTAATCGTGAAGCTTTCATTGTCATTCTAAGCAACATCATCAGCACTAACTTCAGGAAGAAGTGAGCGATAGAGTTTTTTCCGAAAGTGGCTTAGTACCTTATCCTGATGGCCTCGTGTGTGATGACTGAGGGTGAAATGGAAATTTGGACCATGGCCGGACTCGGACCAGTGACCACCGGGTTTCCGGCACGACGCTCTACCAAATGAGTTACGAGGTCCGACTGCTGACCAGATTTTTATTTGGTAGAGCAGCGTACCGGAAACCCAGTGGTCGCTGGTTCAAATCTGGCCACAGTCCAAATTTTCATTTCACCTTTCACCATCACCCAGCATAAATACTAGTCTGCCAAACTACGGCTATCTCACATAGTCAAATGATAATTTTGTGGTTTTCTCTCGATTCTGATTGGTTGTCTTGATGACCTGAAATTGAACCCTTTTGTTGTTTCTCATTGATTGATAGATTGGGTCACTGTCAATATGTCTGTCGATTGCTGACTGACCTGAATGCTAGGCTTCTAAAAATTCTCTGGTACTCTTTGTACTTCCTCTATCCACGATTTTTATATTTTTCCAGTCAAATTGATGTCCGCAGCTGTCCGTTTACACTGATATGTCATGACTCTTTACTGCTAGTTGATGTTCATGCAGACGAATACGAAGAGGGCGAACAGTGTGCGATGTAGTGTTCTCCACAGTTTCTGGAGTTTATTTTGTAAATAATTTCTGGTTTATCGTCTCCCTTTGGCATTGTATCTGTCTGTGTAACATACAGTGAAGAGGTTTTGTGGGTTTGTGAGATACAGCGATTCCAGAAGGCTTCAATAATTTAGTTGTGTAGTCTACGACAATGTTTGTTGATTTTCGAGGTTGATATCTTAGTTGACGACGAATTATGTAAACATTTTTTGATGAAATTGCGCGGATAGCCGTTCTTCTGGGAAGCAATCGTTAAGTCTTCTTTTCTCAACAAGGTTGATGTACTACGGTGTCTTTGCTATTTTGAACAATGTTTTTATACAAGTGATGTCGTGTGTTATGTTCTTTCCTCTTAGAAAAAACTTCAGGGTATAATGACTGGTTGTAAAAGAGGTCAGGGATTTGGGGCTTCCTTGAAGGATCTGGACAACCCTTACTACACACACCCACAACAGTGATGGAAAAAAAATCATTAGATTGAACCATAATCTGTGATTCTCTACGCCTAAGAAAATGAAAGGTACTTACCATAGAGATTCTAGATTTGGAATCTTTCCAATGCCTGTTTGAAAGTGTTCAGCAGTCTTCCATTCCTCTAGTATTGTTGCTGTGAGATTTGAATAAACAGGATCACTGATATTAACACTGTTAAGATTTAGTGAAGAAGACAGTATAGATCGAGGACAAAATTTCATGTCGAGTAATTCATTTATTGCCAAAATGTTAATTGCATATCGTAATATTGAGATGTAACGCACCAATTGGAGCCATTTCCATAAGGTTGAAATATTTACCAAATAGCCACTTGTTATCTGTAAGAAAAACACAGATGTACTGATTAGAAATGAACTTAATATAAGTGTAAAACTTGGACATTGTGGTCGAGTGTAATTCCATTTTAGTCTGTTTATTAGAAATATCATACAGTGAAACAGTAGCATTTACTGGATAACGTTCTGGACATAATTTATTGTCCATGTTCATGTGATTTTGTGTCATCGCATACAGAGCTATAGCCGATGACAAAAAATCACACAGTAGGGTGGGATAGGGTGACAGTTTTGAAAACTTAGTTGGGTGGAGGGAGAGATTGATATCCGGATCTTTGTTTATCGAATCAACATCAAACACATGCAATCGAAATGATGCTGCACCTGTCCCAGATATATAGAAAATTCTACTACCCTTATCATCACAGAGGAGGAGAGAAAACTAGGAATATATGAACACTGTCTCGAAGTTGTGGAGTTACCTGATATGAATATGGACAATAAATTATGTCCAAAACGTTATCCAGTAAATGCTACTGTTTCACTGTGTGATATTTCTAAAAAACAGACTAAAATAGAAATAAACTTAATAATGAAAGAAAACTAGAAAAAAGGAGACAACGATGAACAACTCAGACTTTTTGACGGTACTCTTTGTTCAGTCCAACTAACTTATCGCAAAAACATTAGAACTGAATGGTATATCACGAAGTTGAGTTTGGTAGGTGAATTAGCAGATGTATTCATCTCACGGTGTGATAGGTGAAAAATATACGAATACACATAAGTAGTCTATACTACAATGACACTGGAGAAACTTACTACGGGAGATTTCGGAGAAAGAAGTGCATAATACAGTTTACAACCAACATTTTCCATGATTCTGAAACCCCTAAGAACCCTGACAACACATGCCTATCTACCGTCGAAACTGTTAACGTGCATGCCTTTATACACTGTAATACAGTTTATTTATAGCAACGAAATTGATGCCCCCTGTCTCAACCGAACATACCCATTCCCCTAACAACAACTCTTCAACTAATCGGAAAAAATAACACACCTCCAATTGTCTAAAATATTTCCGCCTTCGTTTCATCGGACAATCTCTGTCAGTGTCCCATCGCTTCACAAGCAGAGTAACTTTCCTCCTTGTCGACTTCTATATAGATGGCCACTGTCCGTGGATATCAGGAAGATTAAGGGCAACTGATGAAGAGTGGATTGACACTGAGTATGGAGATAATGTGCACATGCATCCGAACCGCTCAGATCAATTCTCAGCCATATTACATAGTCTCTAACTAGTGATTTCAGTTGTTACATAGACCCCAACCGGAAAGTCTGGATTTCCCCAGACACAATCCAGAAACTTCATGAACTGATACTGTGTTCTAGTTTGGTCACCTGTAACATTCATCCAGCATAAACTTGTTCTAGCTAGTATTCTACAAGTGGGAAGAGTGACTTGGCATGCTTTCTAGTCATGTTACAGCTACCTGAGTCAATGAAGGTTTACGACCTCACCAATTGACTTGCTTTTTTGGCCTAAAACTCAACACCTGATGTAGTCGCACAACTGCTACATTCAGGTTGGTATAGACAGGGTTTCGGATAACAGGTGTCTTCGCGTATGGTGTAATCACCGTGTCAGCAATACTGAAGTCAGAAGAAGGGTACAAAGAAAGATGAGCAAGTCTATTGATGAGGTTGAGAACCTTCATCGACTGAAGTGACTTGAACGCCTAATGCAAATGATAAGCCACCGCTCATCTAAACGTGTAATGCCAAGGGAAGTTGGATTAGGTTCGAAAAAGGCTCACGATGGCTGGAAACAAACGTACCATCAGTCCATGAAGACCCAGATTGTTGATCTGAGCAATATGGGGAAACGTAGACTACCTGGTTGGGGTCCGCAAGGCGAAAAGAATCAGTATTTGAGGATTCTTGATCACAGCTGAAAATCGGTGACAACTAAGCAGATGTCTTCTCAAACTTGAACGCTTGCACTAACCGCTATCTTCTCTCACACAACTTTGTCTACTTCGGTATAAGTCTTTTTCTATCCATCTGTTCTTCCTGTACTACTGTGAAATATGGTAACTTGAACGGATACAGTTGTGTGTAACGTTGATTTTGTCTGTTTATCCTAATTCCTTGGAACGAACGTACAAAATGATAGATTTTATTGAAGCAGTTTAACAGTCACTTGTTATATGAAGATAGTTTACTTTTCAGAGATTGAGATTTTCAGCAAACCAACTTCTTTGTGACAGTTTGAAAACACAATAAATGAGATAATAACTAATATTTCGTACTAATGAAAAAGAACTAAGCTGTGGAAAACCTAATTTGTACATAACTGAACACCTTCGGGAGTAACCAAGACATGTATGATCAATGTGATTAGAAACAGGATTAAAAGGCTACTCGGTTCGCGGCGGTTTCAGTGTTTGATTCGGTAAGTGTTTGGGTTAGATGGCATTTCTTTTCTTTTTTCTATCACACAAATCAACAAAGATTTCAGGTTGTTGAAGTTTGTTAATAAAGCATAGTTAAAAACACCGTAGTATTCAGATACCCTAGCGTTTGAAATCCAACCATTTAAGTGATATTGAAAGTAAGCTGATAAATGTTTCAGTATAATCTATAATTCATAAACCTGGTTGACGGATTGATGTTAATGTTTCACATGAAAACTGAAGTCAAATAAAAGACCAGGCATCACTACGTAACACTTCGAGTTGCCATAGCTCGCATCAGTACATCAAGTAAAGAGGCAGTGAGGTAAAAGATGAAAAAAAAGAAAAATTCAGTCAAAAGAAATATAAAGTACGAAAAGAGAGGAAGAAAGACTGAGAAAGTGGTGAGACTCAGAACAGTGGCTGAGATATGAGGATAATGTGTGTATACATCAACATCACTCATAGCGCTTCTGAAACATATCACATACAGTCAGTCTCCAACCACCGGTTCCCCTTCTCCCGCGGACCCCAACCACACAGTCTGCATCATCCCACATGGCTCAAACAAACAGTCAAAGACTTCATACACTGATTGATCCCATGTTTTAGTCTGGCCACCTAAGGTTCTTTTGTAGCCTGCACCTACTTCGGCCAGCATTGTGTGACGAGGCAATCGGTGACTAGGCATACGTAACACGTGTCTCAGTCAGCCATCTCACTTGATGAAGGTTCACAACCGTGTCAAATGACTCACCTCTTCTCCCTAAAACTCTACACATAACTTCTGCATTACTCACGTGGTGACACCACGCAATATGACCTATACTACGAGGACAGCGGTGGTCAAACATCCGAAGCCTTCTCATGTCTTTCACCTTCAATGACTATGTTTCACAGCCATACAGTAGAACAGACCGAACTGCTGTGCAGTACACGCCACACTTAATAGACAGTCGGATATCACGGAGGCGCCACAAGTGTCGTAAATTGGCAAAAACCAGCCGAGCCCTTTGGTATTCGTGCAGAGATTTCATCAGTCACTGAGCCACCAGGGCAGGACTGATCCTACTTCCCAGGTAAGTGAAGTGGTCGACACACTCAACAACCACGCTCTCTACTGTTAGCCGTGGTACCGTTGTAGGTCAATTTTAGAGCAACGATTTGCATTTGGGTGGTGCGAAATGCATCTCAAACATTCTCAAATTGCCACTCAAAGTGTTCAGAAGACTCTGCATCCTGTCGGCGTCTTCAATTAACAGGACTATGTCATCTGCGTATTCTAGGTCTAACGAAAATTCTCCCGCGATTAGGTCAACTTCTGTGTGGTCAGGTGACGAGAGGGAGACCGATCTGGTGTTCTACGAACGGAAGTACCAGATTCAAGTTCAAGTCAGCCAGGTCCTGATTTCATAGCAACCAATAAACAATTTTTCAGTTGTCATGTAAATAACATATTCATTCATAGAAATAGCTGAGTAAAACAGTCGAAGGATATAACTGAATTGAAATAGAATCGGAAGGTGCGGGTCGTAGAGAACCGGACCAGTAATCTAGAAACTACTGGTTTGCGTCCAGCCACAACCTCGATTTTTCTTTCAAATCCAATAATTATTCCTGTGATAAATATTCGTACCTACTCATTCTGAACTGTAATAATATCATGAAGTAATTCCATTATATCATCTAGAAAAAACAGTGGAATATGTGAGCTATACTGATAGTCTGCCACTCAGTATCGGTATCAGTTGGGAAATTGAAGATAATAATAATAATGAGAGACAAAATCGACGTAGAACCTTGCACACAGGTGCATCGGCTCAAGTTGCCACACTTTATAGTAGTAAACAAATAAAGACTGATATCAAAGTAGATAAAGTTGTGTGAGAGAATCAGCAATACGAAGATAGGGGTTAGTACAAATATTCAAACTTGAAAAGACATCTAAGCAGTTGTCACTGATTTTCAGACATGTCACCGATAGTCCTCAACCACTGATTCCTATCGTCTCGAGGACCCCAGCTTGGTAGTTCACACCTCCCAACACGACTCAGACCAGCAGTCTTTGTCTGGCCATATTGAACCCTCTTGCAACCTAATCCAACTTCCCCTGGCATAACACGTCAAGGTAAGCGGTAGCTTGGCATATGCAATACATGCCCAAACCATCTCAATCAACTAAGGTTCACAACCCCATCAACTGACATATCATTCTTGACTAGTACCCTTTGCCGAAACTAAGCATTGCTCATACGATAATTTCACCAAACAGGACCAGTTCTGCAAAGACACTTGTAATAATAATAACAATAATAATAGTAACCGTATAGTAGTAAACCAGTAAAGTAATCTAAAACAAACCACGTACTTACCATCATTAGAACGAAAAACATAGATAACAGCATTGATCCAATTCTATTGTCCGTAACCATTGCACTTACAGCAAATGTGATTGCTGAAGCACAAATAGTCAACAAAGTGATTGTCAACTGCCAAAATAAGAATGGACGTAATTCGTAGCGTAGACCAGATAAAAAGTATGTTATAGATAAGCATAGGAAGGCCGGTATCGCTTTAGTCGGTAAGACATCTGATATAATTCTTGATAGGAAATAAGTTGAGATTCTGTAGAATCCAGCTGAAGTTTCATGCCTAGTTAAACAAAATAAGCTAAAAAGTTAATGGAATGACCAAAAGTGTAAAATATTTCTCAGTATAAAATTAAATAATTTGACAAATTATTGGAAACCAGTGATTAAAAGACTTCTGCACTGTTTGGTAACTTTCCTTTTAAATCAATTGAAATGTGTTGTGTTGTGCAATAAAATTGCACAGATTCACATAAGAAGCCCTAAATCCTTGGAGCCTTTCATAACTAATCATGTAGCTCTGGAGTTTCGGGAAGAAGCACGTGAACCTACGTGTAAATATCAGATTGGCTAAAGAGGCGAAATCAATAAGATACTTCTTTCTTGCAAACCATCTTTGTTGTTTTCCCCTTTCCATCAGAATTCTTACCACCTTGAGTTGTAATTACATTCCTGTACTACTATCACATCGTATTCTGTTTTGTGTTTACTGGTCGATTTTAAAGTCTAACTTTGTTCCCTGTATTATTGTTTAGATTATGAATTTTGTCGTTCATCTCTGTTCCTACATATATCTATTGATGCTCAGGTTTGGAGGATACATTTGGTGTTGTTTACTACTGGAAAGTATCAAATGGCTCATGCTAAACACTGATAGCTTACTGCATACAGTTTTAAACTTAGTAGGTATATGGAAGATTTAAAGCACACGAAATGAATTCGATTCATTCCACATTATTTATTGTTTTCGCTTTGCGAATATATTTCTTTCTAGTAAGGCCGAGAAAAAGTCAAAGCCACTGTAAATGTATATAAACCGCTGCTTTTCTTCGCCCGCCTTTAATAAACCAACCCGTGTAATTCTCAGTAACACGCATTTGGAAGACCAACTTACAACATTGAATATAATAAGCCTAACAGGAGCATTTGAATTTGTAGATACACATAAATGTGGTAACCTATCCTTTACACATTGTCGATTCAGACAACGGTTGGAGAGTATCAATCTCAGTCTAGCAGCATAAAAAGGTACAATTGATACACTTCGACAGACAGCTTTCCAATCTCAGCTCTGATGCCTTCTTTGAATTCCAAGTTCATGATTAAAACTTTCTTTGGAACTGTAATAGGGTGAGGGGTAATTCTTTTTTAAAGTTTTTATCAATAAATATTCTAGAGTATTCATTACTTACAATACAGCAAATGAATGACATTTCTTTCACATCTAAGAGGAACACAACTATTAAAGTTAGTGAACTGTTCAGTTCAAGTTGGTTTGTAATAGACTGACTTTTGGATCGAGCCATTGTCTCTCCTCTCTATACTATCATTTCTAGAAAGTGAAACATTGAATTTACCTCTTCTTCTGCAATGAATTTAATAGACGAGTGACAAACATTCAGTCATCTGAGCAGCTTATGCAATGGACCATATTTGGCCAGAAATAAGAAAAGTATCGTCAATATACCTTCTATACAAATAAAGTCCCGAGATTATTCCTTTTAGTGGGTCATTTTCGAGCTTTGCCAGGACGGGACATAGTGGAGACCCCATTCATCTGATGATAAATCACATCATTAAATATAAACTGTACATTTAACGTACATCTTAATATCAGTTCCTTTAGGTAGCTCGTAAGCAATGCAATGTTAATATTATTAGAATGAATGTATTCGTATGGGTAACAAACAGTTTCAACAAGCTGGACATTAGTAGATAACGAAGGAAATATCAAGCGGTATCATATGCTTATTCGTTACGTTGACTTCTTCGATGCAGCGGACAAAACTAAGTGTACTGAGAAGACTATATTTACATTGATTTAATCTCATAGGTTCAAGAATTTGAGCAAGCCACTTATGTCCATATCTATGTGTATCTACAAATTCACATCCTCCTGTGGAACTGACTATATAAGATGTTGTAAGTTGACCCTCCGAAACGTGTTGCTGAACATAAATCACTGTAATACATCTTATGTTATCTTAACAAAGGGACTGGGCGATCATCAACGGTTGAAGCTGAAAGTTATTGTTATGGTCTCCATTCACATATATATATAACCAACGGTACTTTAAAACGATATATTGTCACTGCTAGAGCAATATCAGTCTGTTGTTAGTCATTACATAGTTAGCTAAGATGATGAATAAGGTGAGTATGTGGTAGTCAGTAGATTTTTTCTACTGATAACAAACAATGAGAAGCTAACATAAATGACTTTACTTGATTTATAACACACAGTGGTGATACAGTATTATTTACTTGATGACGTTTCGATCATAAATCATTAACGCTCATAACCATATCAATGTAATCAAACACAACTTTTGACATTTGATTTGACAGCTCTGTTCTTATCAGGAGTAAAATTTTCCACATCTCTGGTATAGGTGTTGCGTCGTTCCTATTATATGTGTTGGGTGTTGATTGAATGAAGAAGGATTCAGTAATCAATCATTCTGTCTCTCTCCACCTGATTATATTGGACTTAAGTACAGTGGTTTCATCCCACTCTATTGCATGTTAATGCATGGATTGGAACAGATGAGTTTCTTCTGGATTATTGATCTTCTTCCGGTCTGTCATTTTATATTTAGCTAAATTCCTATGTTCCGCTATTCTAACTGACCCCGACCGGTTAGTTTGACCTATGTACTTGACCTTACAGTCATTACATGGAATTTGATAGATTAGATTATTTTGCTTAATTGGTTCTATCGAATCCTTAAGCCAGCCGACAAAGCTTACGTCTGAGTGAGTTTATAGGCTTAAATGCCACCCTAATTCCAGCTTTGTTGAGGATCTTACGTAAAGTTTCTAATGTACCTTTCTTATAGGGTAACACAATGGAGGCTGTGAACTCCTTCCTACTTGTGTTGTCGTTACTATTCGTACTCGTGTTACTGTTATCTTTTCATTTCTTATGTGTTCGTACGAATTTCTTAATAAACTTCGGAGGATAATTATTAACTATTAGTGCTTCTTTTACGTGTTTCAATTCCTTGTTTAGGTCTTTGCACCGACTAGTCATTTTTCTAGCTCTATCACTTATAGATTTGACTAAGCCTGCCTTAACTGACATTAGATGGGATGACTTAAAGTCTAGATACCTGTTGGAATGTGTCAGTTTTCTGTAGATGGTAGTATCCAAACCTCCGTCTGTCCCTTGTTTTATCCTGCAATATAACACAGGCAATTCTCCTGTGTTCATTTTTTACCTGGTTAGTGGATTGGATTGCGCCTACTACTGAGTTTATATGTGAGGAAATTGTCGATATGTTTCGATTTAAACATAGTAAATGTCATCTACATATCGCTACTATATCTTAAGTGCAGGATTAAACGTCAGTAAAGCCATATTTTCCCAACTATCCATAAATATATCTGTTACGATTCGGGATATTGGTGATCTCATTGCTGCTCCTTCTGTTTGTCTGTATATTTTGTCCTGAAACATGAAGACAGTGGAGGTCAGGCACAACTGTACGCTTAATATGACCTCCATGGTCGTCAGGTTTCAAGACAAAATATACAGGCAAACAGGAGTAGCAATGAGAACACAAATATTCCCAATCGTAGCAAACATATCTATGGATAGTTGGGAAAACATATAAACAGTGAACCAATTAGATAGGAACACTCAAGAATACACGCCAAAAAGTCTGGTGTCCCAATAAAAAAAAAGATTAGTAAAAGGGTTGTGATGCAGTTTTGATTGAATATGAAAAGTACTACGAATAACCAAAAGATTACTGTTGACTAAAAGCTAATGCTGATTTGAAAACTTGATTCAGTGATTAACCTATTCAACTTTAAACTGTTGATCCCACTCCAATCAACCATGGTTGATTATTCATAGTCTAGTGGATAAACATCTACAGAATCATTGCTTTCACTTAATTATACAGATGTTTGTGTGAAGCTACACAGAAATACTGGAGGGCGCTTACTTGAGCTGTGGTTCGTAAGTTAGGGGAGTTGACTTTCAACTAATAGGTCACGAATTCGAACACCGCTCCACCTGAGGAAGTTTGGGCAACCAGCTAGTATCATGAGACCTTAAAAAATACGTGTAGTTCATTACCTTATATACGAATTTAGATGAGTGCAGTTCCACTCGATTTCGAGGCTTATTTCACTGTATATCAAGTACGAACATATCCGGTTTATGCACGTTTTTACTTTATATCGAAGCTTAAACACTAACGAGGACAACAACAGGATTATGATGATTTTACTTTCATTCACTGTGTTCCAGTCAACAATCATGGGGGATAATTTCTGCGTATTTTGAGTGAACATTTATAATGTGGTGGAGAATACTTGTAGCTCAGGTGGATGGTTGTATTATGTTCTCTAAGCTAGTCTATTTAATCGTGGAGCTTTCATCGTCTTCCTAGACAATATCATCAGCACCAACTTCAGTATGAAGTGAGCTGTCAATATCTCTCCATCGGTGATTTAGTAGCTTGCCCTGACAAACTAGTTTCTAACTGGTTGTTTCCTTTGATTGTTGTGTCATTGACTGTATAGATTTTTCTGTTGGCTGTCCCTATGCTTCACCTCTGACCTTTCTGTTGTCTATCACCTTCCTTATTGGTTGATAGATTGGGTCTATGTCTATACATCTGTTGATTGCTGACCGACTGATCTGAATGCTAAACTTCTAGGAATTCTCTGATATCCTTTGTGTTTCTTCTCTCCGTCCAAAATTTCTACATTGTCGAAATTGAATTCATTTCCATAATTATCCGCTTACATTGAAATGAGTGATGAAATGTCGTGACGTCTAATAGCCAACTGGTGTTCATATAGACGAAGGCGACCATTTCGTCCAATGTAGTGTTGACTGCAGTTATTGCAGTTGATTTTGTAAATGATATTCGGTTTGTCTTCTTTGGTTGTTGTGTCCTTTGGTTTGCATAATAGGGTTTGCAGGGACTTTTTTGGTTTATGAGCTACACCAATTCCAAGTGGTCTGAGCAATCTTGTCGTGATTTCTGATGTATTCTTTATGTATGGTAGGATGATGCGTTTGTTGGTTTCCGTTGATGAATTTGTAGTTGATGATGCACGGAATAGGCATCTTCTGATAAACTTTCGCTAGTAGCCACTCTTCTTTAGGATATACATTAAGTAATTTTCTTCGTTTGTCCATGAAGTTGTTGAACTGTAGTGTATTTTTGCTCTTTCGAACAAGGCCTGAAGTATATCGACAAAATGCACCAATCAAATTATTTGAGCAATTCCAATTTGATAAACATCACGGACTGAGATTCGTTAGAGAATCATTGAAAACTTATAGACACTGGACAGATGTTTCATCTTGGTATGGGGCTCCTCAGCAGCGCGCATCAATGATCCCGCTAAGGAGAAATGTTATTAATAAAATGGTGAAGCGATAGAGAATTGTTTTACGCCCACGATAAGAATGAAGGAACTGAAGACGTGATTAGAAAAGCTATAAAGTTACAATCCACTCAGCAGTTAGTAATTATATTCGGTGAGTATGCGTGGTGATTAGCGTAGCCAGACAGGATTTTCTAGCAAAATCTAAGTTCCAAGATGCTGACATAGATTAAAACTCGTTTCTGTTTAGGGTTAGATCAGTCGATAGGCGATTATCCGGTATGATTACTCTAAGTGTAGCTGCATACTTACAAACTTAGATATCATGAGGTCATTTCAATAACTTGGTCAATATTGTTGAATTTCTATGCTGATATCAAACCATTGGTGTAAATAGTCCACTTTCAACTAGTAGATTCCAGGTTTTAATCCTGCCACCCTACCTACCGACGGTTTAGGCGACCAGCTAATAAAACCAGCCCAAACAAAATAGATTTGGCTCAGTACCTAGTGCACGAACTCGCAGATAGTTGCTACGTTACACCAATTCATCGTCATTGTAGGCTTGCACTAAGATATTCATGTAAATTTACGAAGAAGGTATAACCAAACAGAAACAAGACATTTTAATGTATTGTAGTTAACCCTGTATTGTTTGTGTTATTCAACTAATGTCACGTTTTACCGGAGTGAATGTTTTATTAGGCAATCTTTCAAAAGAATACAAAGTGCGACGATTAATACAAACTACTCCATAAAAATGATGTGCCAGATAGTTATCAATAAAAATTCTGTCATTTATATTATCTCATTTTCTTTAGTATTATCTGTTGACTTTTCCTCTTTTAGTTTCTTCTTAGTTCATCATTATTATAGTAATGATGGATGCTGGGTAGCAGTAGGAATCCAGGACGCGCATTTTATCATATTTGAGATATGTTAGCTGGATATTATCTGCATCCTAGTGAGTGATGTTGTTCGCATTGAGACTCGAGCCCGGGAACGATCGCTTTAAACTCCAGACCGTTATCCACTTCTTGTTCCAGGGATATAGTTTTTATGCTGTGAATTGTATTATCCCGTTGTTGATTAGACACAGTTGATAGACCTAGCTGATGAGTCCTAAACAAGATGAAACCCGCGTCCAGGATCAAACCGAAAGTATAAGCAATATCGAAGCATTTGCGCAGGAGCCTTTTTCTCATAGATACTGGTTGATTCGATCCAATCAACGTCAATTGCTCAACCAACGAAAGTGTTTGGCATTCAATGGAACCACTTCCCGTCTTAACCCACTTGTTTGAAAATGTAAACATTATGCAAAGTTCAATTTAAGCTGCATAATTTTAATTTCTCTTTAGAAGTAGTTTCTTTTCTAAATTTACATTTTATACTGACCTGTTGGAGGATAAAGATGTGTACTTTTACTAACAATAAATAATTAGATTCATCTGATTACAACTGAATAGATGAAGCATACTTTTAAACCAGAAGCGTGGGCTAACAAACTAATTTCAACCACCATGTTATAAGTTTGACTACTGCTCCACTTACCGAAGCTTGGGAATTGAGCAGTAAATATCATAACAGCTCACAGAGCATACGTAGTGAATACTCTGATGCAAAATAGCTAACACTTTCAAACTGAATGATTGATAGTATCAGATAGCTGTCAATTGGAACTGCTGACAACAAGAGAAAATCCAGCATAGACCATTATATGGAAGGGAATCAGTTCCAGTTAGCATAATTCACAGTAGTATATAGAGAAGAAGGAGAACGGCAATAAAGTCGAGGAGAAAGAAGCAATGTATGAGAGTTAATAGAAATGTTCAATTTTTTGAAGATGTCAAAAAGTGTCTACAACGACGCTGTTGCGATCCACTTTGAAAGATATCACCAAAAGGGTTTAACAACTGATTCCTATTATCTTTATAACCTCACTCAGGTAGTCCACATCATGATACACGCTTCAGACTAACAGTCAGAGACTTCATAGACCAACGTCACATTTTGATCTGGCCAATTTCTCCCAACACAAATCTACTTCAGCTAAAATAGCTCATCGAGGTAGACGTTAACTTGACATGAATGACAAGCCCATGAGCTACCTCAGTTGTTATAGATTCACAAACTTATTGACTGACTTACTTTCCATGTCTAGTACTCCACACCTGATTCCCACGGCGACTTTGAAGGTCAGCAATCAGGTTACGGTATTTCGTCTGAAAAGACAATTTTTCATAAAACACAGAAATGTGATTGGTTATTTCATCACTTGCTAGGGCGGCCTTTAAACTCATTCGATTTCCGCATTGTTCATATAGTGATTTCATTACACGTGGCGAATGCTACGAAATATTATACTCGTCCTCTGACACTGAAATAACGTGATATATACGTGCGGACACTAGGACAATAACCTTCAAATGGTGCTTCTGATAGCCGTCCAACACTTCGAAAAACAGGAAACGCAGTAAGATAACGGAAGGTATATTGTAATATCAGACATATGCAGACAACACACCACTATATATATATATATATATATATATATATATATATATATATATATATATATATATATATATATATATATATATATATATATTCAAGATACCAGACGTTACTACTGAAAAGGCTGAAAGTAAGCAGTAAACGTTGTCCAGTCGATATCTAGTGATAATTAAAGCCAATAAAGAATAATTGGTTCATATTGTTAGTTAGTTTAAATATAAATGAAATAAAAACTTACATAAAATTAACACGATCTTTTAAAAATATTTCCAGTAATGCACCACTGATGAATAATAGATGAACACAAGTGAAAAAGAATAAACCCATCCGATTTTGAATTCCTGATTCGCGCCATTTATCCATATTTAAATATATAATCCCTAGAAACAAAGCTATCACAAGTTGTATAATGAAATGGGCTAGTATTGTCCTACTGGATCTGAAAAGGAGAAGAAAATACAATTTGCAAGTTTCTGGGGGATTTATTATTTACTGAATTCAGGTTGGTATTCATCATGAAGCTGAAGGTCCTGGGTTCGCTTTGCTGAAGACAGCTGTCCAAGGCTCCAAGGTTTTCAGTGTTTCTCCAATCCATGATGAATACAAACCAGTAAATAAACTAAGAAGAAGAGAAATAACCAACTGCAATTGACAACGCTTCGAAAAATGAGTTTGATAGGAATGCCGTTTTTGATGAGTCCAGAAGTTTCTCAGGTAAAAAAATAAGGTGTTTTCACCACATTTTTAGATTTTCTACTGATTAAAAGGTTAGATGAAAAGTAGTAACACATGCGGAAAGGCTAGTATGTGCCTCACAGCCTTATAAATAAACGTGGCGTTGCACTGGGTTGTTTGCGCCTTACCTCTCCGACATAAATGAGACGTGATGAAACGCGAACATTATTTGCTCTGATGATAATATGAAGGCAGGCATCGGGACTATCTGGAGCCTAGTTTGTATGAATGGTTACCACGCATGTGAATGAAACAAGGGTTACACGATAAATATTAGCAGTTTTCGAAGCACCAATCCTCTCTAAACAGGCACTCAGGAATGAAATTGGTAGTGAAGTTGTAACGCAACGCGTAAAAAACCGTTTTAAACAATATTTCCCAATGTAGAATAATGTTGTGCCATCTACAACTAGCCGATTCTAATTCAACTGCTCTTGAGAAGATCGTTGCACACAGGGTAAAAGTGAGAAAAGTGCCTATCTTTTGAGCATCACTTGTGAGGGTAACTGTTCAATGTCAAATAGGTTATCATACCTAAATAGTAACAGAAGTGACATTTCTTGATGAGAAACCAATGACTTAAAGACTTATAATTCTCGAATTAGCATGGATTTCTAAAAGTGTTTCAGCGATGAAACCTGCTGGGTAGCTTCTGTACAGTACAACATGATTCTCTCATATTCTCGGGCTCTCAAATAAATACTCGATTCATTTCAATAAAGAATGAAAGTAAGAAGTTTTGAACTTCATGTACTGATTTAAAATGACTACTTATGCTAGCTAATATCAAGAAAATGTGGAATACACCCAATTCATTGACAAAACGTTTGATGCCTAATCACTAACAAGTATCCAAATAACACCTACTGAAATAATTAACTACTTAAGAGGGTTGATTGAAGACAAACACTTCTTCTGAAGTCAGTGCTTGATCTCCAACCATATCCTGATTTGAGCACGAGTGTATGAATCTGCATCCTATCATCCATAATGTCAAATTATAATATCATTTGACGATCTGAGATAGCCGTAGTTTGGCAAACTATTATTTATTTGGGGTGATGATTGAAGGTGAAATGAAAATCTGGACCACGGTCGGATTCGAAACAGCAACAGCCGGGTTTCCAACCCGATGTTTTACCGACTAAGCTACGAGTCGGAAACCTGGTGGTCGCTGGTTAGAATCTGGCCGTCATCCAAATTTTCATTTCGCCTTCAATCATCGCCTAGTATAAATATAATAATACAGAATTTCATAATACACAATAGGCAAAGACAAACGTTTCACATCTAGCTGTTTATTACTAAAGAGAAATTATATTCAGGAGCTGAAAACTGTTTATCGAGAAGATACAACTAAGAATGGAAAAACTACTATGTCTAGCAATAATTAAAACTAATGAAAATATCCATCAAGACAATTAGAGAAAAGGAGAAGTACAGCGACGACATTTTTTTCGACGATTTCATTCTCCGTAGCTATACAGCCACAATTTATCCAGTTTTGTTTGACTATATTGGATAGTTAAAAGAATTATTTAATTAAACCAACACCTAGTAAAGTAGAATAAAGATTCAAAATTGAGGTCTGCCTACAGGAAACCTGTATGAAATGGGCAGTTGATGAATTTCCACAGTTGGATACCAATAAGTCGAGAAAGAACACACTTATCGTGTCCTTCACCCACCATACTCCAAGAATTTGCAGCATTCATAACTTAGGAGAAGAACTCACGTTTCTCAAAAGAGGTCTCACTGAAAACCAATATCCAGATTGATTTGTCGACAAAAACATAAAACCCAAACCACAAACAGAGATACCAACTTCACTTTCAAACAACATACCATACATGAATCTTAACTTCAAAGGTGACCACCTCGTTAATGATATCTTGAAAAGAAGAATTTCAAACTCCTTACAGAAAAATTCCCTGTACACCAAAGTTGACGATAATATTCTCCAGTCGTTCAATGCTTCCTCGTCACCCGAAGGATAAAGCTTCCGCATATCACCACTTCCATATCTTTATCAATTCACCAGCTCATGTGAAGCCAGATATGTAGGTCATTCGACTCGCGTTCTTTCCAAACAGATTGAAGAACATCACCCACACTGCCTGGTTCCAAAGACGTACAAGTCAATCCATCAGAAGTGCAATTCCTAAACACCTTGTCAACACTCCTCACATCGTCACACAACTGATTCAGATTTTAAAGTCATCTACACAATCGAAGGGAATCTGCTTAACATGATGACCTTCCGCCTTCTCTGTACTGCAACACTTCTTCCCATATGCATACAGAAACTGAAATTATATGTATAACAGAAACTTGTACAACCCTTATTCCTACCTCAGACATTACATCAAACCCCAATCTCTCTTACAATTCCCAATTTTGTTGTATTTCATGATATATTTTAATAACACAATATAGTCTTCATTTTGTTTCCATGCTACTCTTGGTCATGCTTTATCTTGAAAATCATTTTCACATATTAATGGGACTTTATATTCTATCCAGTTACTTATGTTGATGCCTCTATGCTTTACTGTGACTAATTTTCATCTTGTATCACACTTGTGAATTTTTTAATCTTCATTCAGCTTGATCTTCTTTACCAGGTGGTTTACTCAAATAACTCTTGTAACTATTCACTTATAATTAAACGAAACTGTATAAATTGCAATTGGACAGCTATGGAGAATGAAATCTCTGGAAAAGATACCTTTGCTGAACCTCTTGTTTTCCCTAATAAAATCTCTTGATCTATACATCATTCCACACGCTTCTTGAACTTTATATTTTCATCCAATATTATTTATTCTTTTTATCCAATTTCTTGCTAGCCGATTGTTATCACTATCGACGTTGTTATGATACTACTTATATATATTTTCATAAGTAGTTTTCACTATACCATAAGCAGTCGTATCTGATAAACTCTTTGTATAATACAACGAATTAGTGCACTACATATTCATCTCGTAATGGGAAGCCGGTTTTTGTTGCTGGTAAACAAATAGAAATATAATAGTTAAACACATAGTAAGAAAAGCATGTACTAACTGTCAATTACGAGTACAAGCTTGATTGGAAACCGACAACATACCTTTTCAGATTTAAATATGATCGCCAGTTAAGTGTCCAAAGTTGATGACAGAACGAAGTTTGACACTGTTGGTAAACTGATAACTGTGGATACCTACAGCGGTTGACTATTTTATGTCTACTGATAATTTTATTCTTGTCATTGGTTCGTACACGATAGGATTTATTCAGTTGGAATTCTGATAATTCAGGTATCGTCTTTATTAATTTCACTTCATCAATTTCATGTTTAACACCGGTGACTGGATTAAGCTCATCATCTCTAATAGTAGCAGCGGCAGCAGCAGTTATGGTACTGACAGAACGACTCAATGCCCATAATTCATCAAATTTTTCAATTTCTCTATCCAGTGTTGATAGATAATTACCCGGTTGGATAAAATCTGTATCATATCTGAAATATTAAATGAATAAGCTGTCATTCTGAAATGCTAACTATGACAAGGTATGAATTTCAAGGGAGAAAAAAAACCGATGACTTATGTAAAGATGAATACATTTAAACAAACAAAAATATACCAATCTGAAATCAATAGATAAATCCCCACAAACCCCCAAATTAAATACGTCTAGGGCTCATTAGCCACTCGCTTCGAGAAGTGATTCGTGAAGTTCTAATGAGAAGTCATGGTCAGCGAGGTCGACTAGGTCAAACATGAGGACTATCCATCCATCCAAGTCAACATAGAACCAAGCATTACTACGTAACACTTCGAGTTGCCATAGCTCGCATCAGTACATCAAGTAAAGAGGCAGTGAGGTAAAAGATGAAAAAAAGAAAAATTCAGTCAAAAGAAATATAAAGTACGAAAAGAGAGGAAGAAAGACTGAGAAAGTGGTGAGACTCAGAACAGTGGCTGAGATATGAGGATAATGTATGTATACATCAATATCACTCATAGCGCTTCTGAAACATATCACATACAGTCAGTCTCCAACCACCGGTTCCCCTTCTCCCGCGGACCCCAACCACACAGTCTGCATCATCCCACATGGCTCAAACAAACAGTCAAAGACTTCATACACTGATTGATCCCATGTTTTAGTCTGGCCACCTAAGGTTCTTTTGTAGCCTGCACCTACTTCGGCCAGCATTGTGTGACGAGGCAATCGGTGACTAGGCATACGTAACACGTGTCTCAGTCAGCCATCTCACTTGATGAAGGTTCACAACCGTGTCAAATGACTCACCTCTTCTCCCTAAAACTCTACACATAACTTCTGCATTACTCACGTGGTGACACCACGCAATATGACCTATACTACGAGGACAGCGGTGGTCAAACATCCGAAGCCTTCTCATGTCTTTCACCTTCAATGACTATGTTTCACAGCCATACAGTAGAACAGACCGAACTGCTGTGCAGTACACGCCACACTTAATAGACAGTCGGATATCACGGAGGCGCCACAAGTGTCGTAAATTGGCAAAAACCAGCCGAGCCCTTTGGTATTCGTGCAGAGATTTCATCAGTCACTGAGCCACCAGGGCAGGACTGATCCTACTTCCCAGGTAAGTGAAGTGGTCGACACACTCAACAACCACGCTCTCTACTGTTAGCCGTGGTACCGTTGTAGGTCAATTTTAGAGCAACAATTTACATTTGAGTGGTGAGAAACGCATCCCAAACATTCTCAAATTGCCACTCAAAGTTTTCAGAAGAACATGGGGACAATTACTCAAAAACCGCTATGTCATGAAACTGTGGACGATTAAACCCCGAGCCAGTGGCTCAATAGGAAACTTAGGGTCCTGGGTCCGATCCCAGACGGGGTTATTGGTGCGCACTGCTGAGGAGTCCCGCGCACTGGGACGCAACAGCCGTTTACTGCTCCCATGTTTCCAACGTTTCTACAACTGAAGTCAAGTTCATGATGAATACCAACCTGAAATCAATACATAAATCCACACCAACCTCCAAAGTGAAATACAAATATGGTAATCAAGTAAAGTTGAATGTGACCAAACCTTTGGTAATCGAAGTGAAGTTGCAGTGTAGTCTGCAGCCAGATCTCGTGGGTCAGTTGATAGAGTACAAGGCTGGAAACTCGGAGGTCAATGCATAAAGTCCTGCCGCTGCACAGATTTCCATTTCACCTTCAATACAAGTCTGCCAAACGACAGCTGTTTCAGATGGTCCAACTGATAATATACATATTTATTGAGTAGTTGATTAGAGATTAGCGTTCACAAGAATTAACGAGGAAGATGTTGAAAAGAAACAGTATTTTCCAAGGATGGTTGGATTTCAATTCTGATTGGATAAGTGTTAGTAAATAATCACCGGGCAGTGAATATAAAAATGTTCCATAAGGTTAGTTTACAGAGTGTGACCAAGTATGTATGAAGTAAATACTGAAGTCACCTAGCCTAGTGACGAAATATCCAAAAACCAACAGCATGGAGAACACCAAACAATTATCAACCTCATTTTGAGCTACAAATCGCTTTCTACTATTTTAAATCCTTTTTTGTAAATATTCACACTAACGTAGTGCTCTTGTTCATAGAAAAATTTGGCCTTTTCGGCAGAATAAACTTTTATCTAGTATAGGAGTTAAACTTCGATACTGTAGTAGATTGTAATTCCATTTTAGTCTGTTTATTAGTATTATAGTATGAAATAAGATTGACAAAACCTTCGTAATAAGCCGTATCTTTCTGAAACCTTTCTCAACCAATCCTTTAGTCCCGAAGTTTCGAGAAAAAGCATGTGAACTAACGTCCAAATATCAGATTGGTTGAAGAGACAAAAATCAATATGATGCTCAAATCTAGAAAGACCTCGAAATAGCTAAGGTCATTGTGAATATACATAAAACATCGTATTTATTTTATACATTATTGACGGATAGTGGCAAGCAGTGGGATCCAGGACGTTGAATGTACCTGTACCCCAATTCATAGGTCATGCTGTGAAATTAATAATCTAGAAAAAAAAACTCGGTTAGTGCAATGCATGCATTAACATAACCACACACACAGTAGCGTGGGTTAGAACCACTGTACTTAAGTCCGATATAATTAGGTGGAGATTGAGAAAGATAGAACACTGAAGCTTTGCTCATCGAATCAACACCCACCCAACACATGTAATAGGAATGACGTAACAACTATATCAGAGATGTGAGAAACCTTTGAACCAATAAAAGCAAAGAATACCACGTGACAGGACTATAAAAATCAGATATCGAGTGTGGTGTGATTACATTGATATGATTATGAGGAATAAGTAATTTATGCTGGAAAAATTATCAAGTAAATAATAGTGTATCACTCACTATATGATATATGATATATGATATATGATATATGATATATATATATATATATATATATATATATATATATATATATATATATCAAATAAACAAGTCTAATATGGAACTTAATATCATTCCCTAATGCAAATCAAGTAATGCGCAATTCAGACAGACATAATTCCACTTTATTTTCCTAAAAAAAACAAATACAAAAGTTCAATAAGCACACATAGACAATAGTCTGAAAGAGAGAACAGCATGAGTTATGAACCGTTTAAAGGGATATCTATCTTGGATATGAGATATTAATTATGAAGAATATTACAGAAGTCAACTTACACTTTATTTCGTTGACTAGCTTTTACTGTTTTTTGATGAGTAAACCATGAAAATGTTGAGATGTTTGATGTTTGCCTTTGAAGTTTTTTCAATTTTGGTTGTTTTGATTGTTTCAATACATTCATATGGAAATCTCTGCTACATTCTTCTAGGAATACTTTACACCTAAAAAATGAAGAAAAAAAAAGTCAAATGAAACAAAAACCGTTAAAGCGGTTACCGTTTTAATTGATTCAAATAAAAGTATTTCGAAAAATCTACAGGAAATTTTAATATAGTGATAATTGCAGATGTACATCGTGATTCATGCTAGCTAACTAACTAAGCTGCCTCTCAACAATCACATGGATGCTCATACACTTAACAATCAGTCACACCTATTGTCTGAGGACTAATGATACTACCTAGTTGCGCAAAATTCAGTAGATGGAGTGACTCACGGGTTGAAAATCACACCTCTACTCTGGTTCATGCAATCGACCCCCATGTTGCTATGGTTTCTCCTAAAGACGTCACTCAAAGGATAAATATAACTAAACTATCCACAAAGCTCTTTTTATTATAGTACCAAGTTTTGATTTGAGTCAAAAACTAGCAGAAACTCAACACAATTCAGTCAGATGAATAAAACCTAAAAAAAATACATTTAGAACTCCAGTTTGCGCTGTTAGCAAACCTGTTTAAACGATAGAATTCAGTTTGATGGTGAGGTCAACCAAGTCGAACATGAGAACAGTTACTTTAACGACGGCACTGGATGGAGGTCGCGCTATATCGTGAACTGACAGAAGTAGGAAATATGAACTGTTGGAATTCAACCCAGTGGCCTAATGGTAACGTGTTTGTCGCGAGACCTGAAGGTAATGGGTTCGATCTCTGGCGCGGTCATGGCTGTGCACTGCTTAGTAGTTCCAGTACTAGAGCGAAACAGCTATCCAGTGATCTTAGGTCTCACATGTTTAGCGAACTGAAGTCAAGTCCATGATAAATACCAAATGAAATAGAAAAGGCTACGTGAGTGTTTATGATAAATTAATAATGCAAATACTAGGTTAGAAATCGGACTTAAGCTAGTATCAAACTGGAAATAGTATGATAAATAATTGTGAACTCAGTGTTATTGTTTGTATGACACCGTCGTTGATTGGACCGAATTGACCAGTCTCTGTTGGCATATGGGCTCTTGTGCGGATGCCTCGATATTGGCTGTGTTTTAATTATGTATAGTAATGATGGGCAGTCGCTAGCAGTGGAATCCAGTATGCGCAGAAATAGGACGAAATGAGCATCCTGGATTCCACTGCTAGCCATTGCCCATCGTTACTATACATAATTGTGAACTCACTTGTAAAAGACGATGACAATACAGAAAAATACTTTGAAAAATTTAGAAGGGGGCGTGTTCGATAAGAAAACAAATCTATGGCAGAAGTATGGAACTGTAGACCGTCGAACGCCAACCACTTAGCTGAATAGTTAACGCGTTGGCCGTTAAACCTGAATGTCTTCGGTTCAACCCCTAGTCAGAACATGGGTACGTACTGCAGAGGAGTCCTCTGCTAAGACGAAACAACTATTCAGTGCTCCCAGGGTTCTCCAACTGATATCAGTCCGCGATGAATACTACCTTCAAAATCCATGACTACCATGAAAATTGGAGGCTAACTGCCACTTCTTGTATACACAAGTTCTTCTAATAGCGATTATAATAAATTAGCATTGCTTCGTTTCTTGATTACTGGGAATGCACTAGGGACCTGCACATCATGCTCTGTATCTATTACATGGGATTTTTAAGACAATTTACTCTTTTTATTATTCTTTCTTATTTGGAAGATGTTCACGAAATCGAGTATCAGAGCTCCTCTTTGTCATTCTAATGTATATGCTCTGGGCTGTACACACGAATTGGTAACTACACTTTGAGGTGACATGAGTCAGAAACCTGTCGAACACTTTGTTTTTAAGACTAATTTAATTGCTGGAGAGTTTTGTTTTACCACATTTCTTATTCATCTATTTATCCTGTTCGCAAAGTTTGCCTCGCCTGAAAGTCAAACAGACAAATACAAGTTTGTTCTCGAAATCATCGAGTCCATTTACTCTTTCTATTCTCATTTAGACTTTTTCGATAGACTACTTTTCTTCTGACATCTCTCGGCAAACTAAATTTCTTCGGACAGTTTATCTGATAAAAAAAAACGTCTCCTTAATCAATGAAAGGATATTTTATAGGACAGAAAACGATAAAACGGAGACAGTCTACTCCGTAATTCTATTCTGTAAACAGATCTTTGATATGATCCATTTCGTCTTTGTCGAAGTTCCGGATTCAAGAACTGATATCCATCAGCCTGTATCATATGTAACTTTTCATCAATGGACTACTCTTATCACAAACACTATGATAACCAGACTGTATTTTTTGCTGGTATTTCACAAGTTTTTTTATAGCCTATATGAAGTTGAAACGAAGGCAACATATTAACACGAATTCATCTCAATCTACCAAATTTTTGAAGGCAAGCAGTTGTATGAAAGAAGGAAGGATTGAGGGAATACAAATGTGCAATACTGCTATTATGGTAATAAGACTTGAATGCACTAGTGTCACCATCACCCATTGTCTGGTATATTCCTTCGAGTCACCAACCATCCACTTCAGTTATTTGCCAGACACACAGAAAGGCGAAATCCACATACAATCTCGCACAAAAATGCATTCGTTCAAATGCCCAAGCTTCATAGCAGCATGCAAGACAGAAAAATAAATGTAGAAAAGCGCCATACAAAGGACGGGTGGAAAGAAAAAGACTGATATCAAAGTTGATAGTTGTGAGTGGGAAGAGAGAGAGAATTTAATAATGAGGATCAGTTAATCTATGTAGATATCAAAATACGCAAAACAGTGAATATATCTGCGGTAATGTAATCAACTTTCAGGTATATCACAAAGGGTCCGCAGACATTAATTCCTATCGTCCCAAAGACCCCAACCAGGCAGTCTACACCTCCCAACACTGCTCACGCCAAAGTCAGATACTTCATCGACTGATACCATATTTTGGTTTGGCCACCCTGAGACTTCTTCGAAACGACTCCAACTTTTCTTAGCATGGTAAGTAGGCGGTTGCCGGGCATATGAAGCATATTTCCAAGTCAACTTAGTAGCTGAAGGTTCACAATCTCATCGACCGACTTGCCTTTCTTGGCTGGTACTTTTAGTCCAACCTCGATATTGCTCACACAGTGATTCCACCACACACCGGCAATGCTACGAAGATACTGATGGTGAAAAACCTGTAACCCCTTCATACCTTCCATTTTCAACAGCGACATTAGCAGCTGTATAACAGGACAGAACGGGTTGCAGCGCAGTATACCCGTCGTCTGATAGACAAACGGATATCTTACCAACCAGCGCCACAGATGAAGCAAGTTTGCAAGTGTAAAACAGGCCTTCTGTATCTCAGCTTACATTCGGTTAGCCACTAGCCCGTTCGTGCTGATGCAACTCCCCAAGCGATTGGATTTGTCAACGCATTCCACCAATCCCTTTTCTGTTACGAAACCCGAGTGATTGAAGACCAGTTCTACAGTATCATATTACATTTTACAGCTGACAGCGAAACGCATGCCAAACATACGCATATTTCTACTCAGCGCGATCAGAAGACCCTGCATTACGCCAATGTCTCGACCTACCAAGACAATACCGTCTGCATACTCCAAGTCAACCACATGCCCTCTATAGAGTATATCAATTCATGTGAAGTCAGACTTACCTAAAGGGTATGTCCTGTAGTGCGTCTCTGGCGAAGTTAAACAGAAACGGTGGCAGAAGGTATCCGCGGCGAACACCACTAGTTATCGTCATCGCTGATGACAACTCTTCATACGCTCTTATGCGGCTACGAGGCCGAGAAAGAGCTTTGATTAGCCTTATATGATTGCGTGCTACTCCCTTCAGAATCAGACACTACCACAACAACTCATGGTCGACAAAGTCAAATCCTGCCTTTAGGTCGAGAAATATGGCAAGTATCGGCTTTTGGCCCGTAGGTATGCCTGTGTTCCACCTGTCGGAGGGTGAAAATATAATCGATGCACCCTCATCCAGCTTTGTCTGAAATCTGACTGGTTTTCTCGAGTTTGCTGTTCTCGAGCTCCAGTTAGGCGTCGGACAATTATGGACTCTAGGATCTTGGGTACAATATTAGTCAAACTAATTCCCCTATGGTTGTTACAAGAAGATTTCTCCCTCTCCATATAAACTGGGATGATCAGTGAACTAGACCAGTTTGGCGGCACAACCTCTGATTCCCACACATCACCTAGTATCTCCGACACTTTTATCAGCAATCTCCTAACTCCATCCTTAAAACCATCAAGTGGTAAACTTTAAGGTCCTGATGCTTTGTATCATTTCAGGTTTGATGCAGCTTTTTCAACTTCAAGGAGAGTTGGAGGGATAACATCTGCGTTCCATTCAGGTTTAGGCTGGATGTTGGGCAACTGAAGCGTTGATGAGGACCGGTTGAAGTGTACTTCGAAATGTTCCACCAAAAGTTCTATCACCTGTCCTGAGAGTTTATCAGCGTTCCATGCTTCTCACTGATCGTTTTACTCACCATCGTCTTCTTCTTGTCGATATCCTTAATTAGCCTAAATAGTTCCCGAGTATTACCCAATGCTGATGCCTTCTCCATCTCTTTTGCTTTCGCCACCCACCACTGCTCGCAGTTGACGCGGAAACTCTTTGTCAGGTTACGTTTAAGTTGCTTTCGCTCTTCATCGCGGTCAAAGCCCGTTGGAATGAGTCTCACATCTATCAGTTCGGATGACATCACGAAAATCCAGTGACGTCTGCAACCTTCGGTACATCTCACCAATTTTCTCTGCCACTGTTCTTACAGCAGACTTAATATCACATCAAATTTCCTGAGGATGGGTATGGCTGTAACGTTCAAATAGGTGGTTAGCTAACTCCTCTCTAACTGCGTACTTGGCGTCATTATCTACCGATCGAGCACAGAAAGGCCTCACTTCCTCATGGTTCCTGCAGCTAGTAAGGCGCAGACATACACCAGCCCGTACTAGCGTGTGATCGGAGTTCAAACTGGTACTCCAGAAGGAGCAGCAATCCTCTAACAGTGGCTTCTAGCAATATGATCTATCTGTGTCCATCGATAGTTTGTCAGCGGTTGCCATGTGAGACGGTGTCCCGCTTTATGCTTAAACTTAGTGCTGTTCAGAAATAAGTGATTTTCGACACAAAATTGCGACAAACGATCAGCATTGTCGGCTCGTTGGCATGGGATTCCACAGATACTTCCAAAATGTCTTTCCGATTAGCTCTGCTTCTCTGCTTTAGGGTTAAAGTCAGCTTCATTATAACTACATCTGAATGTTTTTTTCTGTGGCAAATCTGACAGCTCCTCATAGAATTCATTGCTTCATTTAAACTGCAGACGGTGGACCTGAAGGTAGAGATTACGAATAAGCATCAGTCAGTCTCATGATCCTTTCTAGTTTCTGTAAATCTATTCAGTCGAACCACAGAGAGATGGCTGTTGACCGTTATCAAGTTGAGGAATGCGCTTTCTGGTTTACATTTGTTCGTATGCCTATACCAGCACGTTCACAAGAGCTGGCTAATGAGCCTTCGAACATTCTTGAAGTGGAATTTTGAAGATTCACCCCATTACTAGATGAAGTGAATCTAATAGTCACACTCAGTTCCTTTATACATGTATCGAAAAAGCAGTAGGTATTCATGGTTTGAGATTCCAGATTTCTAGCAGGAGATGACTGCTGTCCAATTCGGCATTGGGTTGTGACTTCTAAGGACTCAAGGTGAAATTGATGGTGGAATCTTAGGAGACTATGAATGGCGTTTTGATGGCTTTGATTGTTGGCAGTGGTCGCAGAGTGAGAGGTTGGGGAATTTTTAAAAGGTCTGAAAATGGTTTCAGGAGCTGAAGGCAAAGGAAGCAAATGCAAGGAGGATAAGTTATGATTGACTGGATTTTGTGTGCTGCGAGAAGCGTATACGCAGTTGGCACTTCGCAGCTACCCTAAAAGAGTTACAGATTTCTGGTCACAGTGACCATGGAGCATCTGCTTGAGGCTAGTCACAGAAAGCCTGTTCCTAATTTTGATAGCTCACTTTGTTATTTTTGAATACAACTATGAACCCACATCACCGGCACCGGTATACCGCGAGGTAGAAGGGTGTGTGTTGTCTTCAGGGTGAACCTTTTCCAACCCATAATTGTCATAGGGAAGGCATTATCAAAGTGGTACTGCTGGTCATTTCAGGAAAACAACTTACTGCTGTTACACGACCATCCAGCCAGTAGTACGACTTTGCCCTCAGATGCCTGTCATAGTGTAGTAATTTACACTCTAATGGTAATTGCTTTTTGTCTAACCATTACCTAACAGAGTTTTCTGGCATGCTAGGAGCACCAGCATAGCTCGTTGGGTTATTGTGACAAGCAAGCCCGACCATCATTTCTTAGGATCTCAAACTTCCTCAAACGGCTTAGATCAACAACCAATGGCTTCACGGATTGGTCCCAAGTTTTTGTATAACCACCTATTAGCTTCTCTGTAGGTTGCTAATTTTACTCCAGCTAAATTTGAAGAGAGATGTAAGACTATGGTATTTTGGCGCTTGTAAGATAGGAAGAATGATAGTCAACTAAAAATGAACGGGCAAACGATACAGATCCACTAAGCAAACATCTTAAAGAGAGTTTGACTCCTAACATAGGCGAAACAGACAATCAAAATATTTTTTAACAGAGGTTTTGACCAAGACTATGAACCAGATACCAATACTGGTTAGAAGAACCCATATATACACACAGTTAAAAAACTTCATTTCAGAAATATTTCACCTAGAATTGTGTTTGGTATCTTATAAAAATTACTGGCGATCAATAATGAAAGTAAAAAAAAAATATGATTAGAGAATTACATTTATATGCATACATAAGTTTCACTAGAGTTGGACCTCTTGTGATAAATAAGGTAGATTGCAATTTAAAAAAAACGTGATACAAATATGAACTTTATCTCTTTTTTTCTGTTTAATGGATTAATATCTATGTACTGACTACTGTTTACATTTAAAATAATAACATTATATAAACAAGAAAAAGAAAAGATTGTACTTGTATGTATATCAATTTCGCATATTTTTTTATACGTGAAAATTGAATATTTTACAGTGTTTAAGTATACAATAACAATATACTTGGCAGAATAGTTGAATGCATGCAAAAATTGTACTATAGAATAAGTTAATTCAATGAATTATAAATAAATAAAACAGTAAAGGATTTTGAGGGAGTTGTGGAGATTTGGAAATATTTCAAGTTGTTATTCATCGAAGACTGACATCAGTTGGAGGAACAAAGGAAACCTACTAGGACGAAACGGCTGTCCAGTGCCCCCAGGTTTCCTTTGTTTCTCCAACTGATGTCAGTCTTCGATGAATAACAATTTGAAGGATTTGTTTTTTGAAGTTTATCGCTTAAATCAAAGAAAAACACTATTAACTTAATAGATAGGTTTTGAGTAATAATACAGTTGTACTATTTATACTCACTAGTTTGTATAGTATCACGTGAGATGATTGAAGTGAGTTAAGCACATACATGAATCAACATCTACCACGATGTGAACATAATGTAGAATAAATAGATTTCTAGGGTGATCAGAGAGAATAAGATAAAGTATTGTTATTTGAAGCTAATAACTGGTAGTTTGAGCTGCAATGTAAACAACCTATATGAAACAGACAGTTTTGTAACCACAAAAATGATTGAACTGGGATAGGCAAATCTATCTTTTGTGTTAGATAGTCATATGAGTTAAAAACTCCACTTTTCCTACGATAGTCTTTATAACCAAAAAAATTTATTCCATAATCTCAAAAGTTCACTTTCAAAAGTAAAGAAAAGTTCCAGTGGATTTCATAGTTGGGCTGAACCTAGTCAATCCATTTTAACTCATCTTATATAATCTTGCAATTACATGTTTGGATTTCATATCTATTTGTATTCTGTTATACTTTGAAAATAATTAATATTTATATTCTCATTTCAACTACTACGTTACTCCCATTCCCTGAAATCCCGTATATCTTGCTGATAGTTTCCTCCGTATACGTCAAACCCAACGTTAATAAGATCATATTTTGAATCAAATGGAAAGAGTCTTCCACTCAGGGTCATGACGATGAATGGATTAACGACTTTGAAGGTTGATATGACCCAAAAATATTTTACAGATATTTTAACTGTTGTGTTAGTAACTGATAGTTTCAATCAAAAAGAGTATAGACAGTATTTCACTGACAACAAGAATGTGTAAGATTGAATGTGAACAACCTTGTAAAAATGGCTAGTCACTTCTTTCACCTACATACATATACACACCAATTGCTATAACAGCTGCAAAACTGCATGATATTCAAAGCTCATAATGATCAGTACGCTGTTTCATAGAGAAAGAATCACGTGGACTAGACGTTGAAACTCGTAGTTCTGAGTAGTTTCATTGTCCACAACTTGTTTGTCATAAGGTCAACTATCCGAAGTCCATTTACATAGAGTGTGGCATTTCGTTTTCTATCCGAAATAGAATAAGAATGCTGTTTTTTTTATCAGAAGCTGACTAAGCTACTGAATCTGGCAGATTTCTTTTAAATGTCTTCAAAGACTACTGAACAGGTAAAACTCAGAACCGATGATAACTACTTTTTTCTCAGTAAAATGATTTCAGTGAAATATCATCCAGAATTCCCACAGATATTCGAAAAAAAGGAGTAGCAAATTTCAAAAGCATACGCTTAACCGCCATTTGTAATCCTTATTTCTGTTAAGAGAAACAGCAGATAATTTAGTATACAATGAGCATATTGATTACAAATCTCATGAAGCACAGAGATGTTTTCATGCTTTCGACAAATATTGTTTTCTTGACCTTGAACAGACGGATATAGGAATTTATGCATAGACAGGTTTCGTAGTACCGATAAAAAAGTACATCGTTCTGAAACGTTTCTGTTCAAATTACGAAATCACACCTTTACTAGTTACCTCACTTGCAAATGATGATATATAAAGTACTCGTATGACACACAACACACTTCAGTCAGAACTTTGCTATGATGTACATAGGTTTCAAGCAACTTTAAAGTTATAGCTTTCGATCGGAATCTGGTAGTGATACCACCAGTGGGGTATGATTTGTAAATTGGCAACGGTCGATAAATACGATTTAGAAGTTTTCACAAAGAGATGGATGAATTTACCCCTTTTTGATATTCTTTAGAAGACAATCTTTCGTAGTTAACACGGTTTCATTCCTGTCCTTAACTATCTTCTTTCCCATGACAGTTGCAAGTATGGGATATTTAACTACTGTACACGTATAATCCAAATATATTTTAGCTGGTTAAAACAAAACTAGAATCTTTCATATGCGTTACTTGTACGAGTGTGAATGTAAACAAAGTAGAAAAGATAAGTCTGTTGACGAAAACACATTCTAGTAAGTAAATATACACTACAGAGTGCTAGTATATATATACAAACATACTTACTGTTGACATAGTGTAGACTCTAACCAATATGAAATAAGCTTGCGTCGAACCATTTCACGGAGAGTTTTACATGTGCCAACATTCTCATTGGTATCTGGAATAGCTGAAAAGAACACCATTAACACTTTGGTAGGATAAATGCTTTGGTAGACTGATCAATCAACATATGTTGTGTAATAGGACAACGGGAAATTACAAGTTTTAAACAACACCAACAAACGATGTCAATTACACAAGTGGTGGTTTCTGTGCCCCAGTAGCCTAGTGGATAACGCTTTGGCGTTTGAAGCGATGGGCACTGGGTTCGAGTCTAAGTGGGAAGGGTGCAGGTACATCCGGCTGACGAGTCCAAGATACGACGAAACGCGCGTCCTAGATTTCACTGCGAGTCACCAAGATGAATACAATAGAAGTACACCTAACTGAAGTAACTACACTCCACAATACTAGACAAAGAAGAAGTGAGCAAATAAATAAACGAAAAATGGTTTGATGAAAGAAAAGTAACTAAATGTAGGTTAGTGTGAATGTTTAAGAAGTTGAAGATGTATATGCTACTGTGAAAATGTATTGAAACTGTTTCCACTCATTAAGTACGCATTTCACTTGCACTCTAAGTAACCACATGCAAAAGAAGTGTTTTCATTTAATTGGACAGAAACCTTGTGAAAAATGAATAATAATCATATTCAATAAACCACATTCATTCACACCTTAATCCCTGGCTTTAGTGACGGTACTGCTAATTGGGTACCAACATCGCTTTAAATAGTCAGTAGCTCACTATGTGTTTTCACAAAAGTACTTTAGTGAGACCTGTGCATTAGATAATACAAGAAATACATGTTGACGAACCTTCTCAACTGTAAAGTACGATGTTGTTTCCACTCATAGTAGAACACTTGGTTAGCATGATTTCTCTTTGCAAAAATAAAAATCAACGGTTCACTTGTCCCACCAAGCAAAGAAATCCATACAAACAGACAAATAATCATAAGAATATTCTTAAAATAGAGAATTAAAATCACGAGCGACGTGACAAAAAAAATCAGTGAGCTTGTTACTGCTTAAAAAATACGATGAAATTGAATAAAACAGAGTAAGGGAGTTTGGAGCACGAGAAGGAAATGAACAAATGTGAAGGTGAATTTATGTTAAAACATAAATAAATTTTATATATACCTTGAAAAATTAAAACATAAGCGAATATGCAGTTGAATATGTGTGGATTCGCTAACTTCAAACTCCAGAGGATGCCTAGAAATAAGAAGCATAACCTCACTATCTGTTTTCCTAAAGTAGACGTCTTGGGAAACACGAGTGATATGAGGCCAACAGTCAGTTTAGATTTAAGTTCATGATCACTTCAGTATTTTGAGCTAGACATACACAAGACGTTTATTACTTCAAGCGAGATTTCAAACTGATAACTTCCATAGCTCCGACAGATAAACAGACAAAGTCAAAGTAGAACCTCCAACCTGCCCAAGACACCTCAGTCGATGAAGGTTCACAATCTCATCGATTTGCTTGCCTGACCTGCTTAGTACTCTTCGCCTAACACTAAAATTACAAGCATGGTGGCAGCACTATAAGCCAGCAATGTTATGAAGACATCTACGGGCAAAAACTCGTAGTCTCTTCATATCTTAAACTTCTAACTTTATCCCACTACTTCACTGCTTACCATTAAACTAGGAGTACTGGCAGCAGACCAGTCCTGGAGCACTATCTTACAAGTGACAAGTGCGAAACGCATACCAAATATACACGAATTTTCGCCCAATGCTTTCATAAGACTACATTTTGTCAGCATCTTCACCTAGCAGGATAATGTCGTTTGCATAGTAAAAGTCAACCAGATGACCTTTACGGAGTAGACCGATTCCTTTAAAGTCGAAGACACCTAAGGTTATTTTTCTGCTGAGGTTTTCATAAAAAAGTTAAATAATAACAGTTACAGTGTATACACCTGCCGGACACCACTAGTCCTCGTCAGTCCACATGACAACTCTCCATAAGCCGAAATCCGGCCGCATGAATCCGATTAGGTGACCTTGATTAGCATAATATATTTGCTCCGTACTCCGTCTACAGTCAGATACTGCTAGAACATCTCACGGTCGGTGGAGTCAAAGGACTCCTTCGGACCACGAAAGACGGCAAGTGACGGTTCCTGGTCGGTAAGTATGCCTGTGTTCAAAAACCTGTCGAAGGGTGAAAATATAATGGATGCATCCTCGTCCAAGTCTGAAACCTGCCTGGTTCTCTTGAGATCCATTTATGCGTCGGATTACTATGGATCCGGAGATCTAAGACACTATCTTAGGCGAACTGATCCACTCATGGTTGTCACATGAAGATGATTGGCAAAGTAGACCAGTCTGACCACATTATCTCTGATTTCCATAGACTACCAAGTAATTCTCTACTCCCGCCCTTAAAATGTTGGGCAGAAACCCCATTGGGTCTTGCTACTTTGCATCGTTTAAGGGTAGAAATAAGTTTCTTTAACTACAAGGACAGTTGTAGGCCCAACACCTATCTCACGTTGAGGTTCGGGCTGGACTCTACGGAACTGAAACGATGCTGTGGGTCAGTTGAATTGTGCTTTAAAGTGTTCTGCCTACAACTGTAGTTGACTCTCGTGGAAGGTTATTATGGTTCTACTTTTTTCAGTGGTGGTTTCCCTCACCACCGCCTTCCCCAGCTCTACGTTACAAACATATGACTCCATTACATTTTGCAATAATCAAAGCCAGCTTCACAGTACTGTTGGTGTAGTTACAAACATAAATACAGGATGAAGTACATTCTTCTACATTAATCACTTCTTGTCCAGGCGAACGGAAAGAATCAACGTAAAACCTCGTACACAAGTGTATCGATTTAAGTTGCTACACTTTATAGTAGTATATAGAGAATAAGTGGATAGAAAAAAAGTGATAGCAAAGTAGACAAAGTTGTGTGAGAGAAGAAACAATTTGAAGGTAACGGTTATTGTTAATATTCAAACTTTAGAATACGTCTCAGTGAAAACATCTGTGTCCCATTGTGCCCGATTTTCAGCCATGTAAACAACACTCGTCAACCACTGACTCCTGTCGTTGTACGGCCCCTAGTCAGGTAGTCTAAATCTTCCCACACAGCTCACACCGAAAACCAAGGACTTCATGCATTGATGCCACGTCTTCGTCTAGCCACCTCGAGCCTTTTTTCCAACCTAATCCAACTTCTCCCTCAGCATCGCACCTCGAGGTAGGTGGTGATTCAGCATGCGCAACACATATCTGAACCACCTCAGTAGATGATGGTTCACAATCTCATTAATCGGCTTGCCTATCTTGCCTAGTAACCTTTGCGTGACCTCAACACGGTGATTTCACCAAACGCAAGGAATGCCACGAAGACACCTATGATCAAAATCCTGTTACCACCACATGTTTTCTACTATGATCATACCAATGGAAATATTGCTTACTTTTATGCCAACAGTAATAAATAACTTAGTTGAGATATCTTCCAGCCACCAGTGATTGCACATATAATCACTAGTGAACTTGACAAATACTTGACAAACTTGACAAGTCATGATTATGTCACACAGACACACACACATACAATTAGTCAGTTCATGTTAGACTTACACACAATATTGGTGTAAAACTTGGGTACTGTCGTAGAATGTTATAGAGAAATGCATACCTTAATAAATCATCTGTAAAAGAACAAATATTAAACTGAGCTTACTACTTTTACTCAGTTTTGCCTTCTCACCTACTTACTTGAAGTATTTGTTTGCTGTGGAACGGCTTCCGTGACGTCAGCTTCTCCATGCAAGATATCCATAAAAAAATCAGCTGGATTGTTGTGACCTTCAATTAAATAACCTGAAAAATATAAATAGGCTAAATGCTTTTTTTTAGGCCATCCAATAATATCGAGAATTATGCATAAATTCCAGTTCGAAAGATGAAACATTTTTACTGAATAGCATCAAAACATTTTATTTTTGACAATGGAAAGGAATATGAACACTTTTTTTTTACTTTTAAGGCACATGAGTTCGAATTGAATCGCAGTACGCTATCTAAGCAATCATTCGCAATTTTCTGCAGTAGGTAATGTAACTATACCTGAGTGTCCTAATCTCGGTAAAGGGAAGTCGAGTGTTTCGACGAAATAGCCACAGCTTCACACAAAATAATGAAAGTTAGTTTATTCGTACACTAATACACATGCAAACGACTTTCATATCTAGGCCACATTAATCTGTCCACATTTTCAAGATATGTGATAAATGAAACTATGCTCTCAATTTACGGTATCATACAACAGAATGATACACTCACTGGTTTCATTATATACAGTAGAAGAAAACCACTAGGATTAAATAGCAGAAGTATTACAACAGGCAATTGATATTTACAGAGGTCAACGGAAATTACGTAGATTCGTCGACTCAGAGGTATCAAGCAATATGGTCGAAGTATTTATTTTAGTGGATAGAAACAGAGAGTAAATTGGTGTGACCAAATTAGAGTCAGGAAGAAGAAACGTATCATGAAGGATTATACCACACCGAAACAGGATACATAAACTACTGTGATCGAAGTTGTAAGAACTTGCTGTGACCCGATTACTAGAATAAAAGTAGATCTGCTTGAGCAAAAATCCTGATGAATAAATACATCCTCATGTATACTTCGATCATTCAATATAGTCATCCTCAGAAGTTACAACATAAATAATATATTATTGGCAGCCAGTTTGTTTGACTTCAAGTATTAAAGCAAAGCGCAGCATCAGATTGAAATCAACTAACTAACACCATAAAACTTTGTGAAACTGTAGTTAAAAATATTAACTTTAATGATGAATTAGTTTTCTCTGAGCTTTTATATTACGATAACTTAAAAAGAAATAAGTTAGTCCCCACGAAGTCATCCAAGCATGTTTATGAAATATTCTAGAACAAAATATCAAAGTTCAAAGAACACCAAGTCATCCTCATCCTGGGGTACAAATCTTTCCAAACGAATCAACTTTACATGGACTGTTCACCTGAAGTGAGAGCGTTATCAAATGCAGATGGTATATCCTAAATACTGGTCGAATTGTATCGTTCTTCAGGGTAGTAAAAGCATCATCTAGAGTGATGAGTTTCACAAGATAAGACAAGATTTTTTTTCAAAGCATTGAATATAATTGTTTACAGTGTTACCCAGAGCACAACATCTTCATTATATCGTTTTTATTCTGAGTATGATCTTGGGTGTCTTGAAACTCATGACTACTTTCTGTTGCTGGGATAATGATGGCCAGAGATGGTGTATGCAAAGAAGAATAAGTAATCGATCTATAAAAAAGTACTAACAAACATTATAATCTAATAATCTATTGTACATTGAATCTTCAGCAAGTATATCAAGTATACCACCCAGTATAATGTCGAATTAATAACAGAGCAATTTTTATCAGAAATACACAGTCCATTTTTCCGACAAAAAATAATTATTGAACTGCTTTGAAAGAAGAAGCTCGTGGAGCATAGTGACCAGAGATAACGAACTGTTCAAGAATCGAGCTGTGAACCGCTTTACATCGTTCTTTAGACAGCTATGCAGGATTGTGTTCGCAGAGGCGTTCAGATATAAAACGGTGTGTGCAGCCTATGCAACCAGCTCCACAAGGACATATGAATCGGTTAACATATATGGAGATCGTCCAAAGCTGTAGTTTATCCTCTACACACACCCTCGAATCAGTTATTGACTGGAGAAAACAATCCGAAGCTGAACGGAAAAGAAGGTCTTCTTCAGTATCTCTGTCAATGCATCTCTCTTGAAACCAATATTCAAAAAAAATGTCTTCTTTGAAACCGTAGGGACTTTTCTTCGAAATACTTAGGCCTCACGTTTCTCAATCAATACTGAAGGATAACCATTCTCGATTAACACTCTTCGAAGTATTTCCAGCTTCTCATTTACTGCATCCACTCGTACAAATTTTCCTAGTTCGTGTGCATAATGAATGAATTAGATTTCGTTTCCTGACTAATGAAACTCAGTTTTGAAAATGAGTATACTGATCACTTCAGGTTTATTTTCTGTAAACCGATCTCCATAGGAAACCATCATGTCTTCTTTCCAGTAGAGCGTCCAGGAAGTCAAATTCTGAGTTGTTTTCAGTTTTCATGGTAGATTTAATTGACTAATGACATTTATTGAATTACCGTGGTATTTCTTCAAGGTTACTATCCTCTTCACAGATGATGAAAGTATTATCCATGTATCTCTTATTTAGATGGAACTGGTCGATTGAGCATGAAGCAATCTGTTGGGAGAGGACCCAACGGTGAAACAATTGCTACCCCATTCGTTTGTCGATAAAGTTCATTATTGAATTGAAATCGCATATTAAAGGTGCATCGAAAGAGCAATGCCTTCAGATAATGCCTAGGAATCCCAAATGCAAGCTTCTTGAACACTTACAAATGCTCCTGTCAACCGGAAGGCAATTCGTCATGGTCTATTATACTGTGTACATAAGCAGGCCTTCAGTAAGGTAGTGTATGCATACATCATAGTAGTAGGTTATGTAGATTATAAATTTATAACACATTAGATCAGAAGACGTAGGCTACTGATTTTATGATGTAATAGACCATGTGACCTGATACCACTATCGTTTATAAATGACCAGAAGGAATCATAGAAAAAAAACTATTTAGAAAATTTTCAGAACTGATTGAGGTCAACTATTTTTTAGTGCGACAGACTGTAAGTTGGAATTTTGTTTCATCTACAACAAAACTAAAATGTCAACGTGCTACTACTGTATACAGAGAAAATATACCGAGAAATTGGATTGACATTATCAAACAACCCACAACCGCTCTTCGAATTATTCAACGTACCACAACTTTCGAAATAAGCGATGGGTGTTTTACCAGCTGGTCCATGGTAGATCATTTGTCCATCAGAGAGTATTGTAAGCCGATCAAACAGACGATAGATAGAATATTTTGGTTGATGGATTGAAAATACAACTGTTCGACCAGAATCTGCTAATCTAAGCAACAAAAAAAGGAGAAATAACAAAAATTTGAACAACTGTTCATATACATGACACACTTCAGGTGGTTGAAGACAGAGGTGATCAAGATACCCAACCAGCAACAAAAACAACAACCACCAACCACCATCAACGGGAGAAATCTAAAGGAAGTTGTCCCTTTTATCTACCTAGGCGGCGTCGTCCCAACTTCAGGCGGTACAGATGAGGATCGGAAAGACAGCAAGGCAGACCTTCATTAATCTTGAATCAGTGTGGAGATCTACTGTACTGCACTGCACTCAGCATAAAGCAGGGACAAGATTCGGATTTTCAACACTAATGTCAGTCAAGTCAGTGCTTCTATGTTATGGTTCAGAGACTTGACGTGTCACGAAATGCATTTCCAACAAACTGCAGACATACATTAACAGCTGCGGCCTACGCCCACTCGATTCTGAAGATCAGATGGAAAAAAAGAATAAGCAACAAGGAACTCTGGCTGGCTGGCAACGAACCAACCAAGAACCCATCACCCAACAAATATGCAGAAGAAAGTGGAGATAGATTGAATTAGACAAAGACTGAGAAGACTGTTTAGGAACACCATGCAGAAAACCGAGTGAAATGTCGACGTGCTACTGAAGTCCTATGTTCCACTAGGAATCCAAAAGATAAATAATAATAATGACACATTTCTGCAATAAACTCAAACTTCTTATTATAATACTATGCAAATTGATCAAAAATTTGAAGTGTCTCGGCATCTGAACATCTTTAATGCCTATGTTTCACAATCATATAGCAGAACAAAATGAACTGCAGCACAGTACACTCAACCCTTAACAGATAATCGGATATCATGGTGGAGCCACAGATGGAGTAAGTTGGAGAAAGCCAGCCGATCCTATTGTATCCATGTCACAATTTTGTCGGCCACTGATTCACTACAGCTGACCCAACTTCCCAGGTAAGTGGAATATTCAGTGCACTCAAGCACTTCACTCCCTGTCGTTAGCCAGGGCACCTTAGAAGACTAGTTCTGGAGCAACACTTTGCATATAGGTGACAGGAAATGCATCCCACATAACAGTCAATCATTGAAGCTGATGAATGGATTGAACATGTATATAGCAAATATATCTTAAAAAGTCAAGATAGATTGATAAAGAGTACTCAGATTCATACTCCTGTAAAGGCTCTTCCCAGCAAAATTGAGACGCTGGGGAGCAGTACAAAATATTAGTTTACGCTGTTATCTGTTCTTGCTATATATCCCTTAATTTTGCCGATAACCTTACATAGCCCTATCATTACTGTTTTTGCACAGTTGATAGCTTTTATTCCTCTCATTGCTTCTGAAGCCTAAACACTCATTGGTTGTTAACTCTTTTAACTTATCAGTGAATTTAGTATTTTCAAGGTCATTTGGAAATGCACATATTCAGGATCGCTGTCAACTGTTTTGACTGTTGTTGAGACAGTGAACGCTCTCTCCCAACGGTGTGTCTTCTCATCTTGTCTTCAAATGTCGGTGGTATTGTTGTTGTTGTTGTAGTAGATACTCTGATTAGCGCTTAGAGTCGATTCGTTTGGGCGTTAGGTTCGTATCGCTCGTAGACTGCTAGATCATATTACTAGTTATAGCAGTTCTAATATATACTACGTCGGGATTATACACGTAAAATAGACCTTATACAAGTAAATCAGTAGACATTAAAATTGAAAACAATGCATATATAAACTAAGGATAGAAACGTTAATAACCTACCGTCTTAGCGTTTGAATTACTGTCCCAGCGGTGTAAGCATCTAAACCTGTAGTAGGTTCATCCAGGTATAGCACTAATGGATCATTTACTAATTCAATACCAATACATGTACGTTTTCGTTCACCAGCAGAAATGCCACGAGTTAACTGGGTACCAAGCTAAATTTAGTATAGTGATGTTTAATATCATTATTGTTATACCATGAGAGAGGAACAGTGTTATGGAAACAAGAAGTTTACAGTTACATTAACGAAGACCATAAGTCACACCTTTTTAATTGATGAACACTGTTATCACTTATAGGCGGGGTTAATCATACACCAATAGAGACCGATTAATTCGGTCTAACCAACGATGGGATAATACAAATAGCAACATAAAAACTATACCCATTTTACAACAAATTGTTATAATGACTCGGTAGATAACACTATGGTGTTCAAAGCGATGGGTACTGAGTTCGAATCTCAGTGGAAGCAACATCACTCACTATGGTGCAGGTACATTCTAGCTGACGAGTCCCAAATAGGATGAAACGCGCGTCCTGGATTCCACAGCAAGCCACGGTGAGCACAACATCATGAATATCCGGCAGTATCGAGGCATCGTCATAGGAGCCCATCTGCTAAGTGAGGTCGAGTAATTCGACCCGGCATATCAACGGGAAATTACAAGTATCGAACAACAAGAAAACTTACAATTCGATCAGCTGCAGAAGTAAGACCAAGTTCTTCAATAACACTCGACACTTTGGCATCTCGTTCGCGTGAAGTGGTACAACGCGGCAATCTTAGAGTGGCAGAAAATGTAATATTCTCTCGAACAGTCAATGTATCCATAGCAATATTCTCCTACGGAAAAAAGATCAAATGTCACGTGGAATAAAACGAAATGAAATTATATTTAACAAGACTTATGAGGCCTTGGCGAAACTTCATCTCAACCCATCAAACACATAAAAATGCTAATAAACAGTAGGATAAGTGGTTGAATGGAATGGAGCTGTAGCTTACTGGTTTAGGGAGACGGCTTTCCGCAAGTAGGTCACCGGTTCGAGCAGAGAGGTAGGTAGCATTATTAGTCTTCATACAGTAGGTCTACTTGAAGAATATGCATAAGGTGTCTGAGGGCTTAAATAGAAGCCACAACAATAGCGACGGCAATCTAGATTGTAAGAAGCATTTCACGTCATGGGAGTTATGCCGTACAATACAAGATGTTTTATACAATCATAAGAAGACTCAGTACCCAGCAGGGATAGTAACAACGAAGTGTTTTTTTTACTTTGAAAGAGAAACAAATGATACTGATGGACTTGGATAGCAATGAAGGTTTCATTGAAATAAAGGAAGAGAACTAAACATCCGTGTATGATTTATGAGCAAACTTCATTTCTGTTATGAGCACCTATAAGTTACTAGATACGACAATCAATACAACAGACAGTTTGTGGGGATTGATTGGTTGCAAGGTACTCTTCATCATGGAATGACATCAATTCACACCAACCAATGCCTCGAGATGGATTTCCCGAAATCCTACTGAGAAGCTGTGATGTGACCTAAACGAGCAACCAAGTTAAGTCGTAAATCTGAGTATATATGGAATGCGTTTTGCACTTGTCAAATGTAAGATGATGCTCTAGGACTGGTCTGTTGCCAGTACAGTACTCCCAGTTTAATGATAGAGAGTGATGTGGTGGAATGTGTCAACCACTTCATTTACTTGTGGAGTCCCATCAGCTCGAACGGGTTGGTTGCTGATGAAATTTCGGGTAGGATGTAGAAGGTCCGTTTGGCATTTGTCAACTTGCATTATTTGTGGCTCCGAACTGTGAGAAATCCGCCTACCTATCAAAGGACGAGTATATTGCGCTGCAATCCGTTATGTCCTGCTCTACGGCTGTGAGATATGGCCGTTAAAAGTAAGCGACGTGAAGCGGTTACAGGGTTCTGACCGTGAATGTCTTCGTACCATTACTCACGTTTGGTGATGGTGGTGAGTAATATTGAGGTCAGGTGAAGGGTACTAGGCGCCAAAACAGACAAGTCGACTGATAAGGTTGTGAACCTTAGTCCACTGAAGTGGCTTGGACATGAAGTGTGCATCCCGAGACACCGCTTACCTCGACGTGCTATGCTAGGGGAAGTTGGATTAGGTTGAAAGAGGGGTCACGGTAGCCAGATATGGACCTGGCAGAAGTTGACGAAATCCCCGACTGTTGGTGTTAGTCATGTGAGGCGATAAATCGCCTGGTTGGGATCACGGAGAGGAAGGGAATTAGTGGACTCTTGGTGACATGGTTGAAAATCAGTCACAATGGCACAGATATATCTACTCTTTAACACCTTTTAAAGCTTGAATATTCAAATAAACCATTATCTTCAAATTGTTTATTCTCTCATACTACTTGATCTTTTTGATCTGACTCTTTCTTTGCACACTTTTTGTTTGTGTAGCACTGTGAAGTGTGGCAACTTGAGCTGACGCACTGTGTGCCAGGCTCTACTTTGATTTTGTCAGTCAGTCAGTCAGTCAACCAAGTTAGGTATGAGAAGGAATACTCACTGAGTGTGTTGGATGGCGGTTGTGCTATAATAAGAAGTGATAGAAGCAGGAAGATGTGGTTCAGTGGTAAAATGCTCGCTGCTAGGTCTGAAGGTTCTGGTTTTAATCCCTGGTGAGGTGATGGGTATGCGCACTGCTGAGGAGTCGCGTACTAGGACAAAAGAATTGCCTAACGCTCCTAGGTTTTTACTGGCTCTCCAACTGATATCGATCAACGATTAACACTGTCTTCAAAATACGTCGCTATGCACATATGTTTATCAAACAGATAGAATAATCATTCGGAAAGGCGCATATAGGTGTCTCAAGTTGCTAAACATCATAGTTAAACCCCCCGACCATACTCACTACTTAGTGCATGCTACGACGGACGGAAGAAAGACCTTGTATGCTTAGTCAGTTGTTGTTGTTAAATGCTTTGGCGGTGAATTCTTCAGGTTCTATCATCTGTCTTCATTATCGTTTATCACATCTCAGATTGGGGACAAATTGGAGTCATCGACTATTACATTAGAATAATTTCAGCTGTTCTCACTCACGACCTGGCTAACTTCATAAGTAATGGATTAATACTAGAACTACTTAAGGAATTTTATGTTCAAGGATAATCCTTCAAGTCGTCTACAAAATTTCAACCTGCACACTATTTCAATTTGTAATTTAATTAAAATCGCGATGGAATAGTTACATCAAAATGACCTTGAAACTGATCAGCTGCTAATCATCGACTTTTTTTATTACACCAGCATTTGCCAGGCACTGCAGAAATTTCACATCATCAAAACTTAGCAGAATCCTCTCCAGTGTGCCATATCTTTCCAGAAGATATTCTAACATCGTTTCACGTCTGCATACAGCGGAATAAACTCTGCACAGTGATAGGTGATCAATTTGAGTTCATTTAAATGTAACGCGATTCCGGTAGGATTTTTCAACTCTACCGAAAGAATTTTGAGAAGTACAGAATAGTAAACTTTTTATTGAACGTATAACTTAACAACATTATTTTTCTGCAAAAAAACTTCTTAACTCATCGCTTTACTGAGACGGTATAACTGGAGATAAACGTAAAACAAGTGCAGTAAGGCAATGGTTCACGAATAACTATTATGCAAGGCAGAAAATTTTCTAGGTGTAAAACAAGAAAGAACCCTACACAAAATTGCAAACAGAAGACTCTCGAGAATGTCCTTGTCACCGATTAACAAACAAATATGATCATCATTATTTTAGAGAAAATGAATCAAACAACTTTTTCAAGTTGGTATTCATCATGGACTGACATTCCTGGGGGGATCATGAGTGCGCACTGCTGAGGGGTCCCCTACTAAGACGAGACAGCGCTCCCAGGTTCTTAATGTTTCATCGACTGATGTAAGTTCCTGATAAATACCAACCTGAAATCAATAGATCACCACAAAAACTCGCAAACAACTTTTTACCTGAACAACATATCCACAAAGACGTCGTCGAACATTATGCTGTAAAAACTGACCATTCAGTAATAAATATCCATTTATTTTCGAAGGATTTTTACGCCCAGCCAAAACATCTAATAAACTTGATAGTATAAAAAGAATTTTTGTAAGCACAACTACATGATATCGTAGTAACATTTAGAAAGTTCAGCAGAAGAAGGGATAAAAAGAAATTTGTACATCTGATAATAACTAACTAGTACATACAATGGAAAAAAGTCTTAAACATTGAACTGTAGAGAAATTGACAAATGAATGTGAAAGAAGCTATGGTCACAAGTAAATGATTACCAAAGAACTAATCAATAACAGAGTGATTTCCAACTGTTTCACTGTCTTTCCCAGCTTGTTATCAACATTCACTTACTACGACTTTAGAATTATTACCGATAAGCAATATATAATATATGTCATCATTTTGACTATCTGAGTCGAATAGTCGTGATTTGAAGGACTAGTATTATTGATACTGGTTGATGATTGAACGTGGAATGAAAATTCGATCCGCTGTGGGATTCCAGCCAGAGATCACCAGGTTTCAAGTTCGCTGCTCGTAGCTCGGTTGACCTATCTCTAAACGTTTTCAGCAATTCACATTTCAGCTACGATGATCAGTTTTAAATCCTGCAAATCGGGTTCTCCAACGAATGGTCCTAAACATCTTTATAAACTCAGCTCAGCGACACCTTTGAAGTGAAGACAGGTGTAAGACAAGGCTGTCTACTATCATCCATGATCTCCCTGACTGTGGTGGACTGGATCATGCAGTAAACCATGAGGAGCAAGAAGATGGGCATACGCTGGACCGATGAAAAGACCCTAGGAGATTTTGATTTCGCCGATGATTTATGTTTAATGTCGCACAAACTTGAAGATCCACAGGCGAAAACTAACAAGTTGACAGAAGAGGCAGAGTAGCGAAAACGGGACTTCAAGTGGATGTAAAGAAGACGGAAGTGATGAAGATACCCAACCAACAACAGCATCGACAACAAGCACCAATCACCATCAACGGGAGAAACCTAAAGGAAGTAGTCTGTTTCACCTACCTGGACAGAACTGTCTCAACTACAGGCGGCACAGACGAGGATTCAAAACCAGGATCGGAAAGATAGCAAGATAGGCTTTCACTAATTTGAAATCAGTGTGGAGATCTACTGCACTCCACTAGGCATCAAGAACAAGATCCAGATTTCAACACTAATGTCAGTCAAGTCAGTGCTTCTATGTGACGGTTCAGAAACTTGGCGAGTCACGAGAAGCACTTTCAACAAGCTACAGACATTCATCAACAGTTGCCTACGTTGGCTCGATACTGAAGATCAGATGACCAGAATAATAAGAATAAGCAACAAGGAACTCTGGCAACAAAACAACCAAGAACCTATCGCCCAGCAGATGTGGAGAAGAAAGTGGAGATGGATTGGGCATACACTGAGATGGCCGATTGGGGATATTACGCGCCAGGTTGTCCAGTGGAATCCAAAGGGCAAACGACGAGTTGGGCATCCTAGGAGGGTGATATGGAGGAGATGGTGTGAGGAAGAAATGAAAGCTTCTGGGCAGTCGAGGCGCCAGGTTCAAAAGACTGCAGAGAAGAGAGTGAAATGGAGGAGTGTTACTGAATCCCTATGTTTCACTAGGAACGCAAGGGAAAAATAATAATAATAGCAGTCCCTTCACATTCACTTATTGCTACATGACATCTTAGTCGATATGCTCAAATACCGCCTTCTAGATGAAATACATTACAAGCTTGAATAACGGTAAGTATATCTATGTTCCAGAAGGTGACGAAAAATGAAGATCTGAAATCTGTTCAGTTTTCCTAAATTTCTTTCTCATAAGATATTCTTAGGTGTTGGATAATTTTGAACCCTGAAGTTTTAGAAATAATAACATTACAAGTACTCAACCAAAAGTGCATTTCGCACGATTAATTGCGCGCAGTAGAAATATAGAAAAACGTTTTTTTTAACTTCAAAGTGCATAATTTCAGGTAAGAAAGGTAGATTGTACCGGGTAAGGACTACCCTCGAAAACTGACCTCAGCTTAGTAAAACTTGCACAACTTAAGTCTAGAATCTAAATTTTCTCTTTCCGTACCTTCACATCCTTATTGTACACCATTCATTTTTGTCTCTCTATATGACGCTACCCTACGATTCGCTTTTATCAGGCTGTTTAATATACTCATCTCAAGGGTATTGCGACTGTACATGTGCCAGTGTATTTCACAGATAATTAATCTTGTCTGAAATACAAGCACCGTCTTCTCCCTGGAGCCAGTCAGAAAGAATTGAGGAGAGATTTATTAACTGTTCAGTTATCCAAGTAAATTTCATATCGACAGTATCGTATTATCGCAAAATACTTATAGCTTATTGATGAGGTTGTGAACCTTCACCGACCAATGGAACTGGAATGGATTTTACTTGATATTCAGTGCCTATCCCGGAAGTACAATTGGTGGTGGATAACCAGTCCGAATGGGGTGGTTGCTGACGAAATTTCAGCTCCAATACAGAAGGCTTTTTTCGCCTTTGCCACCTCACGTCATCCGTCGCACCAACGGACGAGATATTCGATGACCTATCAAAGGACGAGTATACTGGTCTGCAGTCCGTTCTGTCCTATTGTGTGGCTAAAGTCATGGGCTTTACAACTAGATGAGATGAAGGGGTTACAGGGTTTTGATAACAGGTATCTTCATAGCCTTGCTCCCGTATGGCGGAATCACTATGTGAACAATGTTGAGGTCAGGTGAAGGGTAGGAGGCAAGAAAGGCTAGCAAGTCGATTGATGAGGTGGTTAACCTTTATCAACTGAAGTGGCTTGGGCATGAACTCTGCATCCCGAGACACCGTCTAACTTGATGTGCTATGCCAGAGGAAGTTGGATTAGGTTGGAAGAGGGTTCACGGTGGTCAGACACAGACCTGGGACCAGTTGAGGAAGTCCCTGACTGTTGGTCTCAGTCATGTAGGGAGATGAAGACTGCCAGGCTGGGGCTCTGAGACGATAGGAATCAGTGGTTGAGGACTCTTAGTAACATGACTGAAAATCTGTCACAGTGACGTGCAGATGCATTCACTCTTTGACGTCTTCTAAAGCTTGAATATTTGAACTGACCTTTACCTCTAAATTAGTTATTCTCTACCACAACTATGTCTACTTTCATATCAGTCTTTTTCTATCCACCTGTTCTTTGTATACTACTGTGAAGTGTGGTAACCTGAACCAATGCCCTTGTGTACGAGGTTTTACGTTGATTCTGTCTGTCTGTCCGGTAGGTTATCACAATAATACACTATTTTATTAGTGCAGTTACTGACTATTGCTTTGAGACATGTGAAGTATAGGCTGCCTAGTTAAGGTTCTCAAGATTTTTAGGAAAGATAGTGGACTTCAGATGAAATGGCCTTAAACTCATCACAAAGCCTAAATATCCTATTGCTATGTATCAAATTATCCCGCTCCTCAACTCACGATTCCTTTTCTATCTCAATGGATTTCAAAATTCCTTGATTTCACCTATAACTTCAGAAACTGTAAGAGTTTGAACTTATGCATCTAGGATGGACATTTCACTGTGTTAATATATCTGTCGATCTAAACTTACTCAGTAACTGATAAGAATCTATTACACTGTTTAAACTGAAGCGGATAAGATAGTTTGACTTCATGACCTATAGTCAGCACACTTCAGTTAGACTAATAGAGATAATTCTTGTTCATGCTTCATCGCAAAACACTTTAAATGTCGTAAAAAGATAACTTACGTAGATTTTCCACAACCTGTCGGTCCGATTACCGCGTTCATTCCCGGGGGCATATAACCACTGAATATAAACGAGAAAGTTTTGTTATGAATACTTTTCATAACTTCCTTTTTAATTAAAAAAAACTAAGGTATTACAAACAAATTTGTGATATTTAAATAACGATAACAATACGTTATCGCTTGTATTATCCTGTCGTTGACCGCTCTCAACGGGCGCATGAACTCCTATGCATCCAGCTCACGATTCCTGAATAGGACAAAACCGGTGTCCTGGATTCCACTGGTAGCCACTATCCATCATTAACTATAAAACGATAACAATGTTTAGAATCACAACAACATCCCGGGCAAGATTATCATGATTAAAAAACAAGTATTACGATTCAGCGATTCATTCTACAATTTTTTGAAGTGTTAAGAAAGTAATATTTTGAGTACGCCTGTTTATGCACATTTCAATAGTAGCAATTAGCTGTGTCACCATTCGAATCAAATAATCTCTGGAGCACTTCTTCGATTATTTAAGTGGGAAAACAAAACTACTGTGAATTATTTCATATTGATGAGATTTTTTCTGTCCAAGAGCGAAATGTAGCGTTAGAAAACACTAGGAAATTTACTGGATACAAAGGAAATGATGATGATGATGATGAGAGCATACTTTAATGTAATTCCAGCATGGAAAAAGGTTTCTATGCAGATAAATAAAGATTAACCTCAGAAACCCTACATATTTTAACAACATCAAATGATATAAACAGAAGAAACGGAATAAACTCATCACCTACTCAGACGACAGCGATCTAACAAAACCCATTAATTATCAGTTTAACTATCTGAGATAGCTGTGGTTCGGCAGACTTGCATTGATACTGGGTGATGATTGAAGGTGAAATGAAAATCTGGGCCGCAGTGGGATACGAACCAGCGACCACCGGGTTTCCAGCTTGGTGTTCTACCAAATTTTAATTTTTACCTTCAAATTATGTGTATAACAGAAACTTGTACAACCCTTATTCCTACCTCAGACATTACATCAAACCCCAATCTCTCTTATAATTCCTAATTTTGTTGTATTTCATGATATATTTTAATAACACAATATAGTCTTCATTTTGTTTCCATGCTACCCTTGGTCATGCTTTATCTTGAAAATCATTTTCACATATTAATGGGACTTTATATTCTATCCAGTTACTTATGTTGGTGCCTCTATGCTTTACTGTGACTAATTTTCATCTTGTATCACACATGTGAATTTCTTATTCTTCATTCAGCTTGATCTTCTTTACCAGGTGGTTTACTCAAATAACTCTTGTAACTATTCACTTATAATTAAACGAAGCTGTATAAATTGTAATTGGACAGCTATGGAAAACAAGATAGCCGAAATAGAAATCTTTGCTGAACTTCTTGTTTCCTCTAATATCCTGATGGATATTTTCAGGAATTTGAACAGTGAATCACCTATATAATGACCTACATACACAAAATATTTGGTGTACTATTTGACTGTATAAATCCGGATATTCTGTTGAAACAGCTGTAGCACATACAACAAAACGTTCAGAAAAAAGTTGTTATTTTCTAAACACTCTGGGACTATATTAGAATGTACTCTTATTATATTGATTAAATCAGACTCATCACTCAACTTCTTCCAGAACATTCGCAACAACTATGGTCCAGAAGCTCATAGCAGAAAATACTGTACGAGGCAAAGAAATAAAATCAATAAAACATCGACCATTTAAGAATGCCTTCAAAATGGATCTCATTTCGTGCCACTTCACGGCACTAAGATGTTTCAGTAGGATAGATACTTGAAAGCAGTTTTGACGGTTTGAATTGACCAAACAATCCGTTCAGTTTCTTCCCTAGAATAGCGACCACTGAAAGCATACCAACCGAATGCAAATCTTGTATACTTTATGCGACTACATCATAAACTGACATAAAATCTGTTTTCCACTAGAAGAAGCTAATTATAGTCGATCATCGGAGGACATAGCCAAGACCAAGAGAAAGTAATCATCACTGTTATCGTTAGTGCTTACCAAACATTCATCGAAATCCATTCAGCTGCTTAAATGCACAAACTATTCAACCATTTCTAATAGACAAACTCCAAGCACAAAGGTATGCAAACGTTCTACCGACCCTGAGGAAGCAATACAAAGTACACTAAAGATTCGTGGCAGCTAGTAACTAAGTAGTTCGATCCGTTGACATATGAAAGGTTGAATACTTCTTCCCAGATAAGTTCTACAAAACTAAACACTTCATTAGCAGTCATACATTAAACAAAATCCATAAAGAGTTAGGGGGGGAAAGACAAGACGGAGTAAGTAAGAGGCCGACTTAACGGTGGACAATGTTTTATATCCAGAAGCTCGTTTGGCAATAATCAATGGCTTTTCATATGTCAGCCCTCAGAAACCATATGATGCGGGTGCGAACGGTATCACATCGCAAATTCTATACACAAGTTTTGGTACAACAAGAATCTCACCTGAGGTCTGAAAGAACTTTCAGACGATTTGAACAACTCCATGGGAAGGCATGAGTTTTTACACTATAGGATATGTGGTGGAAGGATAGTGTTGTAGGACCAGTTGTCGTTTGACTTGACGATAAAACCTGGGATTCAGAAGCATCAGTATTGGAAGTCATGATTTTGGCGGACAGGTGCGGTGAAATATTTTGATGCATTTCTGAAATACCATATTTTCTTGCTAATATAAAACCTATAATTCAAATTAATACCTTATTATACAAACAAATTAATAAGAAATTATTGCATTTTTTCAGTGCCATAATAACAAAGGTTTACGGATTTTGAAAAAGATAAGCTTTATGTGCAACTTGTCATAGAAAATTGTTGGTCAAAACCACGTCATAAAGTAAGCCCAGATGTTCAAATTCATTCCGATTACCTCATTATTGAGTAACAGTCATTGGCAAAATAGGAAACTTCTTATTATGGGCTGTGTACTATAAAGCATTGAGATGTCTTAATAACGACTACGAAAAAGAGTTACTGTACAGCGAGAGAATTGGCGAAGTTTTCACGCATATCATCATTATTGCTTTCATAGAATCGCTTGTATGTAAATAAACAAAAAGCCACTAGGATAAGAATAACTGCTCATAGTATAACAACTCAGCAGTTAGAGAGAGACAAATTAATGTAGAACCTGGCACAGGAATGCTTTATTTCAAGTTGCCACACGTCACAGCAGCACACAAAGAAAAGAATAAAAATAAGTAACATGAAAGTAACTAAAAGTATCCAAAAAGGGACAGGACAAATAGATAAAGAGTAATCGATGTTCAAGGATTAAGTGAAAGTAAAGGAGGAGACAATGGTTAGGAAGGTAGGCTACGGTTTGCTGGGCTTTGCATACTTCTAGAAGGGTACAGGTGAATGGTGCTTCCTTTCTGCCTACATCATGAGAACAATAATGCATAAATTCAACTAAGTTTTGAGCCATATTTATTACATGGGAGTTGATGGTACCCTATGACTGCCGAAATCTTGGTAGTTTAAACAAAGTTCGAATCCACGGTTAACAGCAGGCAAATATCAAGTCACTGCTACAGTTTCGGTGGGTTATTTTCAAAAAAATGTTTTCAAGTCGACTTTTAAAATAATGGTTAAAGGGATGCCACTTATGACCAAAGTAGAACACTAAGGGAAATGCATATGGTTGGTGTAGATGTTTTAGTTATAGAGTTGGTAACTGGAATTCTACCTCGTCTTCTTGGAAGTGATTCCCCACAAAACACCACTTTTATAACTTCGATTGCAAGTAGAACGATCAACTAAATTGCTGTTGCAATTAACTTATCGATATCATCGTTTCCTGATTACATTTTTTCGATGACAGTGAAAACTAAGATACAAATTATGTTGTAAAAAGCTTGCAGGGAAAGAAAGGATAAAATCAACATAGGATCTGGAATTACTGCGTAACGGTTTAAGTTGCTACACCTCGTTTTTTTAAACCAAACGAGAATTCATCAAGATAAATGAATAAAGAAAGCAGTCGAAAGTGGCAGAAAGTCATCAAAAGATGACAAAGAAGAATGACAGAAAACGGAAATTCGGTCCAACGATTAAGATGATGACAATCCACAGATACATCTGAGCCACTGACATCCATCCTGAGTCATATCACCTAGAGTCTCCAACAACTGGTTTTCCTTGTCTGAGGACTCCAACTAGCTAGTCTGCATCTCCTTAAATAGCACTGACCAACAGTCAAAGACTTCGTACACTGATGTCATGTTTTAGTCTGGCCACCCCGAGTTTTTTTCCAGCTTACACTTACTTCACCTAACATTGTACGACAGAGCAGACGGCGATTACACTTGCGTTATACATGAGTCAATGAAGGTTCACAACCGCATCAACTGACTTTCCTTTTTCCCCCAAAACTCTGCACCTGACCTCTAGGTTACCGACGTGACATAACAGCACACGCCTTATACTACGAAGACAACGGTGGTCTAACACTTGAAACTTTCTCGTGTCCTCTACCTTTAATAGCTATGTTTCACAGCCATATAGTAGAACAGAGTAGACTGCAGCGGGGATAATCCACCGTTAATAAGCAAGCAGATATCGCTGCAGCGCCACAAATGACGTAAGTTAGCAAAAGTCAATCAAACCTTTTTTATCCATGTAGAGGCTTCGTTGGTCACTGACTCACCAGGGTTGGCTCGATTTCCCAGGTAAGTGTAGTGGTCAGCGTAATCAACCACTTCACACTCCATTGTTAGACAGTTGAAATCTTCATCATATACTCAAAACATACGATATACAGCAGCTTAGTGGTCCCATAGAATACCACATGGTGTTAGAAATAGGAGCCCTTCAGCAAGGTATCTAGAGTGACATGAGGTTGGCAAATATTTCGTCAGTGATACCTTTATTTCGGGAGCGAAATTACCGCTGAATGGTTTGGGTAGAGGGGAAAAATTTTGAGGATACTGAAATTCCGAACCAATGGAGAAAATAAATGATTGATGCTAATGACCCTTTTTTATTATTCGCTGGCTCGACAAATAAAACTCCTTGCTTAATAGTACGTTTCTACTTGTGTATGAACCTTTACTGAAGGCCTTCAGAGACCCGAAACAATTTGCTTACAAACAGAGGTGAAGTACTCTGGATACTGCCACTGTCTTGCGTCAATTTTGTATGCAGTTTAGCTAAAGATGTTAGATTACGTATCAGCATTTGACTCCGTTCCCAGACCACTCTTGTTATATAAACTTGTCATTGTCCACACTGAGCAATGGGTTACAGACTGACTGCATTCTTACCTTTCTAAAAGGAAACAATATACTGTTTTTAAAGGGAAGCGCTCAGTTTCATTACTTACTGAAGCCGGTGTGCCTCAAGGCGCATCACTTTCTCCGCTTCTGTTTTCGCTCTTTGTGCATAACTTCAGTCCGGTAAAAATAATTTCACCAGGTATATTGATGACCTGAAGGTTTCTATGCCAACTATCTTTCAGTTAGATGGCTCCTGAATGGTTTTTCAAGTTGAATTGGCCAGTGGTTATTTTCAAATGATCTGAAACTTAACCCTTCTAAAAGTCAAGTTGTTAATTTTAGCCCCAGGTGCAAAGAAGACATGTATGAGCAGCTTCGGACTCATAACCCCTGTAGTACTGATGGCATTGCTGTAGAAAGTAAATCGAATGTTGCTTATCTTGGATTGAATCTTTATTCTGATCTTTATTGGTCATTTCATGTCTTGTTGACTTGCAAAGAGATCTTTAGTTTAACGTATTGTATAAAGAAGCTGAAACTTTGGTATAACTCAGCTTCTAGTTTTAAAATTTACTAACTTCTGCACTTTAACAATTCTTCTCACTGCTCCCAGTTGGTCTGTCCTAGTCTACTAAAGTAGACTGTTATATTGCGCAAGGCTTTGAAGGCTATCACTAGAATATGGTTTGCCTCTAACTCAACTGATTGACAGTTTAGTTGGTAGGCATTTAAATTCAAGTGGAAAACTAGCTACAGTCATTTTATCTGGTGCTTAGCACCCACCGAACTTACAGTTCTCCCCTTGTATCTCCTCAGAGAAGACAAGTTATGTAAGATTATACCCCAGTATATCTGAACACAAGAATTGAACTTTGCTTTACCTAGCACACATCTTAAGTGACGAAAAAGTTTTAATAGATCATCATCATTATCAACATAGGACCAGGCATTACTGCGTAACGGTCCGAGTTGCCACACCTCATATCAGCACATCAAGTAAAAAGGTAGTGAGGTGAAGGATGAAGATAAGTGAATGCAGTCAAAAGAAATATAAAGTATGAGAAGAAAGGAAAGAGGAGTGACAAAATAGTGAGATTCGGTATAGCGTTGTTAAGATGAGGATAATGTGTGTATACATCTGCGCCACTGACTTCGGTTCTGAGCCATATCACCTAGGGTCTCCAACCACTGGTTCCTCTTGTCCCGTGGACCCCAACCACCTAGTCTGCATCGTCCTACATGGCTTAAACCAACAGTCAGAGACTTCATACATTGGTGCCATGTTTTAGTCTGGCCACCTCGGGCCTTTTTCCAGCCTGAACCCACCTCAGCCAACATTGTGTGACGAGGCAATCGGTGACTAGGCATACGTAGTACGTGTCCCAACCATCTCAGTCGATGAAGGTTCACAACCTCGTCGACTGACTTACCTCTTCTCCCTAAAACTCTACACCTAACTTCTGCATTACTCACATGGTGACACCACGGAATACGTCCTATACTACGAAGGCAACGGTGGTCAAATACCTGTAACCTTCTCATGTCTTCCACTTTCAATGGCCATGTTTCACAGCCATACAGTAGAACAGAGCGGACTGCTGTGCAGTACACGCGACCCTTAATAGACAAACGAATATCACGGCGGCGCCATAGGTGGCGCAAATTGGCAAAAGCCAATCGAGCCTTTTGTATCCGTGCAGAAATCTCATCGGCAACTAACCCACCGGGTTGATCCTACTTCCCAGGTAAGTGAAGTGGTCAACACACTCAACCACTTCACTCTCTATTGTTAACCGCGGTACCGCTGAAGACCAGTCCTGGAGCAAAAATTTGCATTTGGGTGGTGAAAATCGCATCCCAAACATTCTCAAATTCCCACTCAAAGTGTTCAGAAGACTCTGCATCTTGTCAGCGTCTTCACCTAACAGGACTATGTCATCTGCATATTCTAGATCTAAGGAAAATTCACCTGTGATCCGGTCAACGTCTTTGTAATTAGGTGACGAGAGGGAAACCTCCATAAGAATATCTATGATAAAATTAAATAAGAATGGGGATAGTGGGCATCCTTGACGGACACCACTTGATGAGTATAGCTCCCTGGACAACTCACCATAGGCTCTAACATGCCCACAAGTGTTCGAGTAGAGAGCTTTCAATAAGGTGATGTACTTACTAGGCACGCCTTTCAGTGACAGACACTGCCATAAGACTTCTCGATCAACGGAGTCAAATGCCGCCTTCAGGTCGAGAAATACAGCTATTGTCGGGCGTCTGTAAGCATGCCTATGTTCCAGGACCTGGCGCAGTGTGAATATTTGGTCGATACATCCACGGCCAGGTCTAAAGCCTGCCTGGTTTTCTCGGGCTTGCTGTTCCCGAGCTCCACTCAGGCGTCGGAGAATTATAGAACTTAGGATCTTAGACACTATGTTTGTCAGGCTGATTCCTCTGTGGTTATCAC